CCTAAGCCTGAGGCTCCTGCTACACCGGCTCCTGCGCCAGAAGCTCCCAAGCCTGAGGGTGGTTGGCAAGACGCAGGAGCTGCACCCGAGACTCCCGCGCCACAGGCTCCCGCGCCAGAAGCACCCAAGCCTGAGACTCCTGCACCAGAAGCCCCAAAACCTGAGACCCCAGCTCAGCCGGAGGGTGGTTGGCAAGACGCAGGAGCTGCACCTGAGACTCCTGCACCAGAAGCTCCGAAGCCCGAGACTCCTGCGCCTGAAGCCCCAAAGCCCGAGACCCCTGCTCAGCCGGAGGGTGGCTGGCAAGACGCAGGAGCTGCACCTGAGACTCCTGCACCAGAAGCTCCGAAGCCCGGGACTCCTGCGCCGGAAGCCCCAAAGTCCGAGGAGGGTTGGCAGGACGCCCCAGCTGCCCCGGAAGCTCCTAAGCCAGAGGCTTCTCAGCCGGAAGCTCCCAAAGAAGAGGCTCCCAAGCAGCCCGAGGCGCCCAAGGAGGAGGCTCCCACGGAACCTCAGCCGGTTGAGGAGAAGCCCGAGGAGGGTAACAAAGGCGGATGGGGCGATGCTTGAATCCGCTGATGACGCAAAATTTGGAGCATAGTACTGCTCAACTATTATGAACGCTCATGAATTAGTATACATAGTGTTTGGAAGGTTCCCGCTAAACTTCAGCGGAGATAATGTATACATATAACATTGGTATTGGATGGATAGGGATCACTCCTTAGTCCCACTTCCATCGATTTAAGGGTCTGAAAAATACAATCATCTCAAAAAATCCTCTCACTACAATATTTGCACCATTCGCATCACAATCCTTTGATATGGCGGTGGGATTTGAAGAGTGTTGAGCGTAGCCGCGGCCGGCCATTAGAGGCAGTGAAAAACTTGGCATCTATATACACTTACGTCAATACCCACAGCACCAGGGCTACACTGTCAAGCTGAGTATTGCCAACTACGGATTTGGACTGCGTCAGCAATGTCAGACATGGACCCCAACCAACTTGATATTGCAACGCTGGAGCGGTCGTTCGTAGTGTGCGATCTGCTGCTGGTGGGATGTTTTGTCAAAGTACCTCGGCACGACTTCTCCACCTGTCGTCTTATCTCCACTCTTATATGCGACGATGGTCAACCCCGTCTTACATACTTCTGGCATAAGACGACTGATATCCCAGTCAGATAGACGGGGTCCCTACGCAGATTACAGTTGGCAACTTTCTCGTCGTTCATAGATCACCACGACTTCATCTCATCTACCAGGCTCAACCAAACGTAATGGCCGACTACTCAGTCTATGGCACGCCGAGCGCGGACTGGATCGCATTTGCACCCAGCATGCCGGCTCCGCCGCCAGGGCTTACAATCGAGCAGTTGGTGGAGTTGACCAACAAAGGTCGTGAAGCCACCTCTGCTGAGGAGATGATATCCCAAGGTTCGGTGAATTCCCATTCCTCCCAAAAGCCCCATGCTCATTGAGTGAATCCAAGGTCTCGCCGATGCAGTCACCCTGCAAGATCACAGCATCCAGTCCAGGGACGGCGGGATCATTGAAGCACGGTCCTATCGCCCCAAATCTGTTTCGTTAGACCAAAAACTACCCATTTACATCAATCTCCACGGTGGCGGTTTTCTCTTTGGTGTGAGTGTGAGCCCACTGTTTATGGGTGCGATGCACTGACGGCAGGAATAGACCCTCCCCTCCGAGGATGCCGCCTGTTCGCGCATCGTGCACACTCTGGCCTCGGAATCCTATCCTATTACTGTCCTCAATGTCAACTATCGCCACACCCCTCAGCACACCTTCCCCACAGCATGGCATGATGTGGAAGACGCTCTGGTCTGGACGCACGCTCACCTGGATCTCCTCGGCGCCGATGGCTCCCAGCTTGTCATCGGCGGCATCAGCGCGGGCGGGCAGCTCTCCGCCTCCATAACGCTCCAACAGCACCTAGGCATCGGGCCGTTGACGAGCCTGCCGAGAATCAGAGGCCAGGTGCTCATCATACCATGCCTGGTGAACCCGGACACGTACGATCTGCAGCGAGCCAAGCTAGCCAGTCCGGAGGTAAGTAGCTACGTGACACAGAAGAATGCGCCGGTGCTGGACGTCGCGCGCGTCCGGCTCTTCACGGGGCTGCTCAAGCTACCAGAGAGCTTTGATGTCAAGGACCGGCTGCTAAACCCAGGAAATGCGGACGCGGAGGAAGTCAAAGGCTTGCCGCCGAGTGTGTTTGGGATTGCGGGAGCCGATCCGCTGCGGGACGAGGGCCTGTTCTACGCGGAGCTGCTGGCCGGGCAGGGGGTGCCGACGGATGTGACGGTGTTCAGGGGAGTGCCACATGGGTTTCGTCGCTTTGGGGACAAGTTGAGCGCGAGCAAGGCGTGGGATGCCGTTACGGCAAATGGGATCCGTTGGTGTTTGAGCAGTCCGCAGGCAGGACAGTTCACCATCAAGACGGATTGATTGCGGACGGCGGATAATCCATCATCAAGACGGATTGAATGCAGACACGGCAGAGTGTTTGTCAAGGCAGCCGAGACGTACCTCTCTAAACTCCGGCTCGTCCGTATCCCGCTTGGGGTCGGCATCTGAATTAGTCCGGCCGAGACTTGGCATTTCTCGGGTCATGAAATCACCAGATTCGACTCATTGACGCGCGCAGGCAAATCTGTCGACGCCTCATCGATCTGTCCGCCTACACTTCCCTCTCCATCTCACGACCACCTCTCGTAGAGATCCAATTGCAGCCAGAAGGTCGAGTGCACTTGTCCGACCTCAAGCACCATCATGGCTGCCAGGCTCTTCAGGCCGCAGCTCTTGCGCAGCTCTAAAGCTGCCCTCGAATGCTCGGTCTGCGCACAGCGCCGCGCTTCACAGCTAAGTCGCTCCCGACTACAGTCGCCATTACGACCCTCAATATACCGTTCATATGCGACTGTAAATCCGGGAGGTCCGAAGAAGCCGGAGGATGAATCCGATAAAAAAGCTGAGAAGAGTGGCGATTCGAAGAAGGACGAGCAGACGCTGAAAAATGAGCTTGGATCCAACGATTCAAAGCCGGCCGAAAAGGTAACAGAGGCAGACGTGAAGTCTGAGTCTACGCCCAAGGAGAAACAGTACGACATGCCGCCCGGCTTCACTCCCTTGACCGAAGAAGAGATCAAGCAAATAACCGACATCACCGACATGGTCAAGCAAGGGTTGCCCAAGTCTCAGATTCAGGCAATTGATATGGCTCTTGAGGTCATGAAGAAGGGTGGCGTTCCGCCTGAACTGCACGAAGTCCTCGAAGACCGCAGGAAGAATCCCGGAAAGCGTCTTGACCTGGCTACGACTGTTCGCCTGGTCAGTGTATTCACCAAGATCTCACGAAAGACTCCCGAAGAGGTCTTCCGAGACTCGTACAAGCAGACACATGCTAAACCCGAGGACAAGAAAGACGGTGAGCCAGAATTGTTCGAGCAGTCCAACACACGTGAGGAGGGGCAGAAGAAGAGGAAGCAACGAGGGAAAGAGGAGGAACAAGGCCAGGGCTATACCTTCAAGGTTGGCAATCTCAGACTCGACGCAACAACCATCTTGCTGTCTGCTCTATTGTCTTTCTACCTCTACCGTGGTGTCTTCCCCTCCGAACAGTCAAGAGACATTACCTGGCAGGAGTTCCGCTCCACGTTCCTTGACAAGGGCCTTGTGGACAAACTTACCGTTGTGAACCGCAGCAAGGTCCGCGTCGAGGTTCACCGTGAGGCGGTGAACAACATGTACCCGGAGTCGCCAGCCACTCGGCCCGGCTTCTATTACTACTTCTCCATAGGTTCCGTCGAAGCTTTCGAGCGAAAACTTGATGAGGCACAAGAAGAGCTGGGCATACCCTCTGGCGACCGGATCCCTGTCGCTTATGCTGATGAAGTACCCATTGGCGCTGCACTGTTTTCCTTTGGACCTACCCTGCTTTTCATTGGCGCCCTCTTCTGGATGTCGCGACGGGCTGCGGGTGGCGCTGGCGGTCAGAGTGGTATTTTCGGCATTGGCAAGTCTCGAGCGAAACGCTTCAACCATGAAACCGATATCAAGACCAAATTCTCCGACGTCGCCGGAATGGACGAGGCCAAGGTCGAGATCATGGAGTTTGTCTCTTTCCTGAAAGATCCTTCGAAGTACCAGTCTCTGGGTGCAAAAATTCCTCGCGGTGCAATTCTGTCTGGTCCCCCCGGTACTGGTAAGACTCTGCTGGCCAAAGCGACTGCTGGCGAATCTGGGGTGCCCTTCTTTTCGGTGTCCGGCTCCGAATTTGTTGAGATGTTCGTTGGTGTCGGTCCTTCCAGAGTAAGAGACTTATTTGCGAATGCTCGCAAGAGTACACCTTGCATCATCTTCATCGACGAAATTGACGCCATTGGCAAGTCTCGGGCGAAGTCGAATTTTGGTGGTGGCAACGACGAGCGAGAATCGACTCTTAACCAGATCTTAACTGAAATGGACGGTTTCAACACCTCTGAACAGGTGGTTGTATTGGCCGGTACGAACAGACCGGATGTGCTTGACAAGGCTTTGATGCGTCCTGGACGGTTTGACCGTCATATCGCCATTGATCGCCCAACAATGGATGGTCGCAAGCAGATATTTATGGTGCATCTGCGCAAGATCAAGACTGACGTTGATCTGGAGTATCTCACTGGTCGTTTGTCGGCACTTACGCCGGGTTTCTCTGGAGCCGATATTGCCAATTGTGCCAATGAAGCTGCTCTCATTGCCGCCCGCGCTGACTCAAAGTCAGTGGAGATGACACATTTCGAGCAAGCGATTGAGCGCGTTATAGGTGGTCTGGAGAAGAAGTCTCTGGTCCTGTCACCGGAAGAGAAGAAAACCGTTGCCTACCATGAGGCTGGCCACGCTATCTGCGGATGGTTTTTCCAGCATGCCGATCCCCTGTTGAAGGTTTCGATTATTCCCCGCGGCCAAGGCGCACTTGGATATGCCCAGTACCTACCTGCTGGTGGCAATGATGTCTACCTCATGAATGTCAAGCAACTGATGGACCGGATGGCTATGACGCTTGGTGGACGTGTCAGTGAAGAGATCTGGTTCGATACCGTGACCAGCGGCGCCTCGGATGACTTCAACAAGGTGACCCGAATGGCCACTGCTATGGTGACTGAGTGGGGCATGTCTCAGAAGATCGGTTACCTCAACTACAAAGACGACCAGGAAAAACTACACAAACCTTTCTCGGAGGAAACAGCACGAAACATTGACCAAGAAGTACGGAGGATAGTGGACGAGGCATACAAGCAATGCAAGGACCTTCTACTTGAGAAGAAGGATCAAGTACAGGCGATTGCCGAAGAGCTTTTGAAGAAGGAGATGTTGGTGCGAGACGACCTGGTGAGAATACTCGGCCCAAGGCCCTTCGAGGACAAGGGCGAGTTCCACAAGTACTTTGACAACAAGGAAGGCAAGAGTGCTCCGTAAGTTACAATCTGCCAGTTGTGCAACTCTCTTATTAACTCGAACAGACCACCACCTCCGACAGAGCAAGAAGGTCCCTCCGGAGCAGAGCCTGAGATGCCAGCTCCGGCATTCAAGCGTGTCGAGCAGCCTCGACTATAGACTTTTGCGGGTTCTTTGGCATAGCGCGGCGTCGATGATACCAAAAGCTTGTGGCAATGTAAATCTAGTCACTCGATAAGGCAAGTGTGGATGGATCTTCGAGACCAATTGTGTAAATAGCTCGTGTTTGCGATGAATCCCGACTTTTACAGGCATGAAGTACGCTGTCTCCGTCTATCTCCTGGGCGTGGATCTACCGAATCTCTCCGCATTGTCGAGATCTATACGAGGCAGTAGGTTCGCCGCGTATATCGGCCTCTTAACGTGCGCATCACCGCTTCGACGTCACCATCAACAGGACTGACGAGTACACTAATGTGAACACGACTGAGGTTCTTCCAGCGTCATCGGCTGCCTAGAAACTTGACTGATTGGCGGACGGCCAACTGCAGCCCGAAAGGCTTTTGCAATTTACGGGCGTACCCACATGGCCACCTCCCTCGTGGTGGAAATTGTGTACGAGCTCATCATGAGGCTGAATATCGTTCACACGCCAGCATGTCCGCCGGCGAACAATCACTCCGTCGTCGCGTCTCGAAAGCGAGAGAGGGAGCTATATCAATCTCAACAGCTCGTCCCTTGAAACCACAGGACAGCAACAGCATCTTCAACAGCATCCTCTCCAATATCCAGGCCATCTTTGAACTCTCATACCTGGTCACAGCATACATCTTCCAACCCCTGACGTTCATCCAAATCTTCATCCTCCCATCTCTCCTCAATATGGGCTTCTTTACTACCAGCCATCCCTTTAATCCCCGCACCTCCATCCCTGACCTCAAGTCCAAAGTCATTCTTGTCACTGGTGGCAACAATGGGCTGGGCAAAGAGGCCATTCTACAACTCGCCCGCCATGGTCCCGCCAAAATCTACATGGCTGCCCGATCTGCCGACAAGGCTACTGCCGCCATCAACTCCATCAACAATCAGCTCACCGTCGACACTGTCATCGAGCATCTACCTCTCGATCTATCATCCCTACAATCAGTCAGAGAAGCCGCCGAGATAGTCAAATCCACGTCCTCTCGCCTCGATATCTTGATGCTCAATGCTGGTATCATGGCCACGCCTCCGGGCCGTACCCACGAAGGCTTTGACGATCAGATGGGCGTCAACCATATTGGTCACTTCTACCTTACGCAGCAGCTACTCCCCCTCCTTACCGTCACCGCCGCGGCAGGCAACGACGTGCGTGTGGTCTCTCTTACCAGCGAAGCACACAACCTGGGACCTTCATCTCTCGACATCATCTTCAACACCGAGCGCCTAATCCAGACATCGCCCTGGTCCCGCTACGGCGCCTCCAAGGCTGCCAACATCATGTTCGCGGCCGAACTCGCACGTCGGTACCCACATTTCACTACCGCCAGTCTACATCCCGGCATCATCATGACGGATCTGCATACGCCCGGTCAGCAGAGCCACAGTTTCGTCGGTCTGTTCATGAAGTACATGAGCCCGTTCATCACGCAAGACGTGCCGCACGGCGCCTACAACCAGCTTTGGGCGGCGACAACCAATGAGGAGCTGACCAGTGGTGGGTACTATACTCCTGTGGGAAGGCTCCAGAAGAACACCAAGTGGGCCAAGGATCGCGAAGCCGGAAGACGATGTTGGGAGTGGACGGAGGAGGAGCTGAAGAAGGCTGGGTTTTAGGGGGGAACATATATCATGTCCAATATATGAATAGCTAGAGCCTGCATAGTAGCTGGGCGCTGGGCGCTGGGCACTCTGTGAACGATAGATACTATAGACTGTACAACGACGCATGATTGAGAACGCCTGGCTTACATTGCTGCCCCAGCTACACTCTCCATCCACCGATGAGCACGATGACATATCAAAGGTTCCCGTTCCTTTATTGTGCGAGGTCTGAGCAATAGTTCACCCACCCAGCAGAACCTCAGCCATACTGTCACCTCTCCCGTTCCACAAACGCGGACTGATTGATGCATGCACCTGTAGCCGGCCATGGGACTGTTCTGTCTCGCAAATTGCTGCAGGAAGACCGGACAAGGTGACACCTGCGAAAGTAGAATGTTCTTGAGGGTATTCGAACGCTGGTCTGGAGCCAAACTAACGGCGTCAAATTGTCTCCGCGACGCCGTAGTAGCAGCATTTATATCCCACGGAATTGAATGTAAGTTCACTAAACAGAACGCTAAGTGAGCAGGTCAGTCGCCTCTTTTACTCTTCCTGCTCGTATGATCAACGTGCCATAACACGAGATTATTCGTGGCCAGCAACACTGCCACTTATGTTGATTGGCTAGCGCAAAGGATAGGACCGAGCACAATCCCAACAACAAACTCCAACAACTGCTGCTAGTTATGGCACCCTTGATCCCCTCACCGGACACAGTCATCCTGATCACCGGCATCAACGGCTATATCGGCAGCAACATCGGCCTCCTCCTGCTCTCCCAGGGCTACAGCGTGCGCGGCACCTCACGTTCCGCCTCAGCAAAAGACCGTCTGCTAGCCGGGCCCTTCGCCCCATACACCTCGACGTACCAACACACGCTCGTGCCCGACATCACCGCCCCGTCCGCCTTCGACACAGCCGTCCACGGCGTCCACGCCATAATCCACACCGCCTCCCCCGTGGACTTCAGCCTCACGACCCTCGAAGCCTTCACTGGGCCCGCCATCCAAGGCGTCCTCTTCATCCTCCACTCCGCCCTCCAGCACGCCGGCCCCCAACTCCGCTCCTTCGTCCTCACGTCCTCCATCGCCGCCGCCGTCGACCGCTGGACCCACCCCTTCGGCACCCCCTACGCCTACAGCGAATCCGACTGGAACGTCAACTCCACCCTCGTGGCCTCCGACCCCACCACCTTCTCGCCGCCCATCGCCTACGGCGCCTCCAAGACGCAAGCCGAGCGCGCCCTCTGGTCCTTCTCCTCTTCCTCCTCCGCCACTGCATCCCCCCATTTCGCTTGCAGCGCCATCCTCCCCGGCGTGGTCATGGGCCCGCCCGTGCTCCTCCCCGCTTCCCCACGGGGGCTGAACCTGACGCTCCAACCCATCTGGGCGCTCTACAGCGGCGAAGCCACGGCCATGCCGGCGCAGATCGGCGGCGCCGCGTGGGTGGATGTCCGCGACGTCAGCGCCCTGCATGCGTGGTGCGCGACGCACCCGGACGAGAGTGGGGGCCAGAGGTATCTGTGTGCGAGTGGGACGGCGCCGCCGCAGGCAATCGCGGATCTGTTGAGGGTGAGGTTTCCTGAGAGGGGGGTTTTGGTGGGGGAGCCGGGGAGGGGGTATGTGGAGGGGTGGGGGTGGGTGCCGGAGACAAAGGGAGGGCAGAGTGCGGATAGTGCCAAGGCGAGGGGGGTGTTGGGGAGTGGGTATCGTTGGAAGGGGTTTGAAGAGATGGTGTTGGATACGGTGGGGGTTTTGGAAGGGAGGTGGCCTGGGAGGGCCGGGAGTTTCAGGAGGGATGGGAGCGGCGGGGGCGAGGGCGGAGGAGAAGGGGAGGGCGGGAATGCTTAGCGCTGGAGGAGCTATGAGGGGGAGCAGGACCTCTGAGCGTTGAGATGGTTCCTTGCAGCTGAGTCACGTTGATACGGGGGTATTTAGAATTAAGGTGGACGGAGTCATAAACGAGGATCAGCGTCAGGATCAGCGCAGACCATCGGCACAATAGAGTAAGCATGGAGCGAGCCAGAGGCGACGGAGAAGACCACACCCTAGAAAAAGGCCGAGACAGGATAGAAACGTGAATGAAATAGAAACAGCCTGTATGGAAAGCAGCCTGGAAGCCTCGTCAGATTCGCAGTGCGCTGTCCCTGTTGGTCTCTATCTCATCTCTTTCACATGTTTGCGTTCGCGCTGGCCCGTGCAGCTGCATCTATACAAGCATCGTCATCCATGCATGAAGTATAGCGATCCAGCTATCCATGGAGCCATACAGGCAGCCCATTCAATATCTTTCGTGGCCCTGAATATACCCTTAATCCCCAAAACACGCCATCGCTATGCCCATATCCAAACCAATGCCGCCATCATCTTGAATATATATACCTCATTCTCCACTCCACTCCCCTCCCCTCACATTATCAATACCCAAACCCCTCCAAATGCAAGTACAGTCCCTGCGCCCCGGTCCCCTTGTGGATAGCCCTCTCATCACTCAGCGCCACCGCGCTGCGCCGCACATCGTCCTGCAAGCCCTGCGGCCCGCACGCCAGTACGGCGCTCTCACCCTCTGCGTCCTCGAGTAGGGCGCGCATGAGGGGGCGGATGCGCGGGCGGCCGGTGTGGAGTTTGATGAGCGACGCGTTGGACATCGGTGGTGAGTGTGAGTGTGGGTGTGGAGGCTGTTGGGCTTTTTCGGAGTAGGAGGGCGGCGAGGAGGACGAGGACGAGGACGAGGAATCGACAGGGTTGCAGCAGGTGCATGCTGCGGACTCAATGCCGTCTTCGCTGACGGCTTGTTTGCAGCAGCATCCGCCATCGGGGCCGCAGCCTTTCTTCTCGTCATCAGTGACTTCTTGCACTGCTGGGCTTGGCTTGTTCGCCTTTTGGCCCAGCAAGCCAGTGTCCTCTGTGACAGGGGCTGTGGCGAAGGGAGCGATCTCGGCTTCGCCGTGCTCCCTCGGCGCGCATACGCGGGCAGTGTTGCCGTTGATGCCGCTCTCACTGGATCTCATAGCCTCCAATTCCTCGTCGCAGGTGACGTAGACGCTGACCTCCAATTCGACTTCGCGCCCGTCGTTGGCGCGCAGCTCAACCACGTCCTGCAGTGCCCGTTCCAGCACGTCCTGGAACCAGCAGAGTCGGTTTTGCGCCTTGATAACCCACACGAATTTGATGTGTCTTGTCACGGTTGCTTCGTTGTGCACCCAGCGTCGCACAATATCTCGCATCAAGGGCATCGTGAAGGTTGCGCCCGTAGAGCCCGCGAAGAGCAAAACGCTGCTGAATTGGTGCAACGGGCGATGGGCGCCGTAAGGACCCTCGAGGCCAATGAATTTGGTCTGTTGTGGGACATCGGCGACGGGCCGTGCGTTGGGCAGCAGGTGCGTCTTAGCAGCCCAGCGGTGCAAACGGCGTGTGCCGCCCTTCTGCGCCTGGACAAGGAACTCGAGCTTACCATCGCTGGGAAGAGAGGCGGCGGTGAAGGGATGGGCCTGCAGGGGAACGAGCGAGTGGCAAGAGACGAACATGTGCTGACCAGGAGACCATGAAATCACAGGGTTCTCAATGGTGAGGCGCGTGACGTTGCCTGGCAGAGGAGTAAGTGTGGCATTGTTGGCCCAGACTTGAGATCTGCCATGGAGTAAGGGGATGTTGGCCCAAGCGGTTACGCAGAGGCGCAGAACGCGATCGATGAAGAAGATGGCCACAGATACCCAGAAGTATACCCGACTATTCTCGAGATGCAAGTAGATAGCGCCCATGAGGCCAGCGAACAAGACAACATGGAGAGCGTAGAACACCTCGTGGGATAGTTTCCGAACAGGGAGAAATGACGTGAGGAGAATCGCGGTGAGGATGACCCAGCATGCGAAACCGGTCTGGGTCAGACGATCAATCTGTAATTTGCGAACAATATAGTTGTACCGGGCCCATGAGCGGAACCAAAAGGACATGTGGATGGTGACAGTGACCCAGAAGACTCGGGATACCCAGCGATGCAACCAGTTGAGACGTTCGTAGGAGGAGCCGATGGCATAGCCAATGAGGTTCTGCTTACCGGCCAGGAGAAAGATGAGAGGTAGTTCGGCGACGGCCAAACTGCCTACACGGTAGGCAATGTCTTCCCATTGCCGTTGATCGAAGGTATCGTAGCCATAGAAGGAAAAGCTCAGGATGGCAGCAAGCCAAGCGAGAACTAGGAATGTTGGTCCCAGCGGCGGGGTGCGAAGCTTGAATTGCTTGAAGTGGTAAACGGGAAGAGAGACTTGAGACAGTTCCCGAGTGATGGCTGTCACGACGGCGTATGAAGTGGCTAGGATGGAGATGGGACGTGCGCTGAGCGAAGACAGTCGTTGTCGGAAGAGAAGGAAATTCAGGATGTTGATGAGCATGGCGAAGGCGATGATCGAGCCAGTGAAGATCCAGAAGTAGTGTTGGATGTCGGTGTATGAGGGCATGTTCATGCCACCCATGCCGCTCATGCCACTCATGCCGGACATGGAATGGCCTTCGTGTCGGGCGTTGAGCGCCATGATTGCTATACCTACCACGACCAAACCAACACAAGGAAAATGAGATGAAGTGGTCAAGTTAAAGACATGGGCGTCGACGTACGGAGCACATGTGCAGGTAGGCTGCTATAGGGCGGCCTAGACGGGCCAAATCTCAACAATGTGCTCACAAAGCGGATGATCCTTGAGGCGCGGGTCAGCACAGGTGTCAGGATCATGCTCAAATTGTGCTCGAAACGTGGGGTGCTCAGCGGCACACAAGGAGGGAGTCGGTGGAATCTGGAGGCAAAATGCCAAGAACGTGCTCAAACATCAACAGGCTTGGCTGGATCCGGTTAAGCTCGTCCCGAAGCCACCACGCTCGCTTTCTCTCACTTCACCCCCCCATGATCGCTCGGTAGCCGGTGCTCTGAGGACTACGACGTCTCAAACACCACGGTTCAAGTCTGCACGAGAGTCAAGACGCTGTATACATAAGCCTGACACTGCTCCTCGACCCCCCAAGAGTGTACAAATAACCCCCAACCTTTGTCCTACCACACGTCCAAATATCAACACAAATCAGTCACCTACAATATACACCAATAACCATGGACCGCCGGCATGACTCCTCTGAACATGGCTCCGATTCAATGGGAGGCATGGCCATGTTCTTCACCACCTCTTCTCACACCCCCCTTTACTCGGAATCCTGGACACCCTCATCAACAGGCGCCTACGCGGGCACCTGCATTTTCCTGATTCTGCTCGCCATCACCCTCCGCTCTCTCTTCGCCGCCAAGTCAGTACTCGAGCAGCGGTGGGCAGCACAGGCACGCAACCGGAAACTCGTGCTCGTCAAGGGTCAGGAATCGGCCTCTGAACGGGTAGAGAACGACCCCTACGCCAAGTTTGGGAGCTTCATCGGCGCCAACGGTGCTGAGGAGCGACTGAAGTATGTGCAGGCTGATGGCCGGAGAGCACTGCCTTTCCGACTGAGCACAGATGTTCCTAGAGCTGCGCTTGTCATGGTCATTGCTGCCGTGTCGTATTTGCTGTGAGTGGTCTCCTACCGTCTGCGCAACGTCCAAGTGACTAATCTGTGTCTAGGATGTTGGCTGTGATGACCATGAATGTGGGCTATTTCCTCTCGGTGCTTGCTGGCGTATTTGTGGGCGAGGTTGCCGTTGGTCGGTATGCTGCGGTTGATGACCACTGAGTCCGTTTTACACAGCAATGGTGTCTGGCGCTATCTTCTGGGTTAGAGAATACAGCGTCACTACATCGCTCTGGCTCCTGTTGATCCAAATGCTGCCTCAGTCTCAATCTGACCATCATCCGGCACATGTTCATTGCTCTCTGTGCTGGCGCCTTCTGCCAAACATCGACCCCTGTCTCCACAGCATCAGTCCTGGTTGAGCAGGTTCTACGTGCGCCCACAGTCGCCCCCCACGCAAAAGTCTGTCACCCTGGAGCATCCAGATCCGCCTAAGCACGTTAACCTGAGCACATTTTCTCGTAGTAGTCGTCTCACTTCGGCATTGACAATTCAAAATGGGTTAGAATGGTGCCTGTGCCCCTGATAGCGGGCCGAACAAGCGTGCCCAAGCTTTGCGAAGCATCCACACGGTGAGTGCTTGTACGTGCTTCTTTTCCACCCCTCTGCCACCCTCGAAGGATTTCTTCTCTGCACCAACCCTTATCATTGAAGCAACTGGTAAAGCACCTGTCGTATCCCTCTGAACAGCACAGCAAGCCCGCGAACACCTGAGAGCCCTCCCACCCCACAACAACCCTTCACACCACCACCACCACCATGCATCTCCCCAACACCCTCCTCACGACCCTCCTCCTCCCCCTCCTCACCACCGCCCACTTCGTAATGCACTACCCCACCTCCCGCAACGGCGACGACGACGAAATCGAAGTCAAATCCCCCTGCTCCGGCCTGGGCCTCAGCTCGAACCGCACCACCGTCTCCCTGCCCTCCTTCCCCATCGCCCTGGAAATGGGCCACGACGAGACCGTGATCCAGGTGTTGCTGTCCCTGTCGGACGACCCCAGCAGCGAAGCCGACTTTAACGTCACGCTCGAGCGCACGTTCCAGCAGGACGGGTTGGGCGCCTTCTGTCTGCCGGAGGTGCGCGTGCCGGAGAGCGCGGGCCTGAGGGACGGCGCGAATGCCACGCTGCAGGTTGTCACGGACGCCGAGGGCGGTGGGGGGTTGTATGTTGTACGTTTACATCACCCTCATTTCTTTCTTTCGCTGTCCCTCTCCCTTTCCTCACCGTTTCCCCAACATACATTCATCCGTCCTTTGCCCCTCCCTTCACCCTCCCTCCCTCACTTTCTCTTCCTCTGGCTCTAGCTTTTCCTCAATCAATCAAGCAACCCTGCTCAAACCACCACTGACCATTCCGTCTCTACTCAACAGTGCGCAGACATAACATTCACCTCCGCCCCACAACCCCTCCCCTCCTCGTGCAAGAACAACACCGGCGTCACGGCCAGCGCGCTGCCCGCCAACGACAACATCAACGCCAACGACTCGAACGCCGAGGGCCAGCCGCAGGCGAGTGGCAGTGGCAGTGCTGGTGCGAGTGGCAGCGGGAGTGCGGCGAGCGCGACGAGCAGCGGGAACGGCGCGGCCGTGCAGACTGCTGCAGTGGCGGCGGCGGTGGCGGGCTGGGGCGTCATCGGCGCCGGGGTCGTGGGGGCTGTGGCTTTGCTTTGAGCGTGAGCGTGAGCGTGAGCCGTGAGCTTGAGGGGGTGGGTGCATGGAGGCGGGGAGAAGAGGCTAAGGCTAGAAGATGCTGTCGCAGGGAGGTGGAAAGGGGTTTGGTATCGGAGGGGGAGGGACTGTGTGATGGCCATGATGGTCAGCGAGCTGTAGAGTTGGAACGGTCTCGGAGGAGAGACTCACGTTTATCTCTTCTGTCACTCGTTCGTTGTCTATGCAATGTGCTGCTGCTGCTGCTGCTGCTGCAGTGCTGAGGCTCTCCGAATCCCATGCAACCACGGTATCACCAAATGAGACACCCTTCAAGGCCACGTCTCAACCATATCCCACTCGCCCACCGGCTTACTGACGCCCTCGCCCACACCTCCGGGTCCACCACTCTCCTCCGCAAGCGACCACTTCCACCTCTTGCTATTTTCCGGGTCGTTGAGATCCACCTGCTCGACCTCCTGGGGACAGATGATAGCCACGCGAAAGTTCTTCCTCGCCAGTTGTTCCTCCGAGAGATGCCCTCCCTTCTGCCCCAATGCCTCACCATCGCCCTCCTTCCCCTCACTAATGGGCTTGCCGGGCGGCGGATTCTTGAAAGAGCCTCTCATGACGGGACTCAGATTCTCAAAAACATTCTCCACCTCGCGGCGCCAACTCCACTCCTTCTGCTGCTCCTCCGCCTCGGCGCCCTCTGCTTCGCGCATATATCTCCCTACCTCAGCCTTGACCGTCACGGTGCCGCTGTTCCCCTCGCCCTCGCCCTCCACATCATCCGCACCCACGATCCAACACCTCCCCCTCACCCGCCACTGCACCTTCTGCTCCTTCATCCAATACACCGCCTCAACCTCGCCGCCCCCACCACTCCCACTGCGGCTCTGCTCCAGCGTGCCCTTCCCGCGGCCCGTCGCAAACACGTCGTAGACTTTACTCATGCGCGCGTCCGTCGTGAACATGGGGCAGTCCGAGTCGTAGACATTTGGGTTCTTGGGCAATTGATTGTGCGGGTTCTCCGGCAAGGCGGCCCAGAAGCCGCGGTGGATGCAGAAGCGCGCCGAGGGCCGGCCTTGGGCCGTGGTGGTCGCGAGGACGAATTCCGGGGCGGCGCCTTGGGCCGAGAGGTGCGAGGCAAACGCCGATTTCCACGGCGCGGTGGTCGTGGGGGTTGGGTGGGACATGGCGGTGTTCGAGATGGGTCGGCTGCTGGTGGTCAAGTTGGTGCTGGAGAGAGTGGACACGAGAGAGCGCAGGCGGTTGAGGGGAGGGACGCGGTTCGGAGATGCCAGGGTGGTTGCTTTGTGGGCTAGAACGTGTGAGGTCTGCAGCGGTAGTAACGACGCGTTTGGGGTCATGCAAGAGTTGAATGGAAATGGTACCTGCCTTGCTATACTGTGATGGTGGCTTGCATCATGACTGCAGCGTGTGGTCATGGAACGACAATCGCAGGTGCAGTCGTGACGACATTGGGAAATCGCTTCTACGGTAGGGCAGACAGGTGTGTAGCGCAACTTTCACTGCCTGCGGCTCATCTTCAAAAAGGTAGTGCAGACTGGTTGTTGTATATAGGTCGCGACGACCTTGTATTTCAGTCGGCAGTACCTCGTCTACCGCCCGAACAGTATCCGACCCCTGTATCGTGTTCTGGCCTGCTTCTTGTGAAGGCATTTGCGAGCACTCAGCCAAATGCTTGCGGTGGTTGGACGCCTCGCAATCAAATATTCGATGGTACCTGTGGCATATCGTCCATCGAGCCCCCCTATGCGTGCTGACTCCGTGACCGCGGCGGCAAACCCTGGCGATGCGTCCGCCAAGTATCCATTTCGTCGAGACCCTTCGTGTACTTGTGATCTAGGCTCGACATACAGCCTGAAATACTGAGGTACGAATCCAGGTATATCAGCCCCTACAGCGTATCCTTCTCTTGCATTGCTCGGTTTTATTTTGTCATCTCAGGAAAAGATTGATCCATTCCAGCTCAGACGCATGGTATGGAAAGACTGATAGTGTGGCCACAAAGTTTTCTGAGTGTCCTGGCAAACGAGGACTTGTGCCACGACAATACCGGCTTTTTCGTTGTTGGTAGATATACCGGTCGGACACGTAGGAGCCACATAGCTAGCCGAGCGTTTTTGATTTCGCAAGAGTACTATAAGCTCCTGTGGCCGGCAGTTGTGCAGGTTGCCAACTGCTTCATAGTCGCTAATAAGGTTCGCCAGCGGGCTTGTGGCTCCTGCATGTCGTTGTGTGCTCGGTAGCCTCTCGTGCCTTCACTTCGCGTACGGCTATGGCGAGGTGGTTTGTCATGGAAGCTCGGGAGACAGGTGCATGTATCGCACAGTGACATTATCCATCAGGACAAGATCAATCATGCTTGATGTGGCCATTCGCTTGAGGCTTGGCAGCCGAGGCTGTATCCTTGAGTTGCTGAAACGCCTTCCCAATCGTATGGACGCTGTGTACTAGCAGAGCTGCCCAGGATTAGTACTAGCTTTTCAGAAAACATGAGGAGAACTCACGGCCGGGTATGGCCAACCAGACAGCGTTCACAGCCACATAGTAGAACCAGAAATAATAGCCTTCAGGACGACAGAAGGTGAGACCGTTGTAGTAGTGCTCGAAAAGAGCCGTTGCGTAGTAGAGCAACAGACCATAAATCTGGCCCATGGACACCATTGCCTGGATGGGATGGCGAAGGGGATGGTCGGCACTGATCATGTACACCAGGACAAGTGACAGAGGACCCCAGAAGAAGGCGGTGATGGTTTCCATCCACAAGGTAAAGGGGTCCGACGTCAGATAGCGCGAATCCGACAATGCATACTCCTTCCAAAGCTGCCCGAACAGATCCTTGGCATTGCCCATGCGTGCGTGATTCAGGGCAAAATAGCCTTCGAAGAAACAGTGAATCAAGCCACCTGTCAAAGCATTAGCTGGTCCGAATCACAATGTTACACAGTGGTAAACATACACAGAAAGAACCAGCACAGCGTCAATCGATCGCTGGTCTTGAGCTTGGGGGTCGCCCATCGCGAGACTTGCCAGGCTGCACCCATAATGACCAGCCAGCTGCTTAGGAAGGGGAAAACGTAGTCCTTGATGAAGGCGTCATTGTCCACATAGCCGGGGATGTGCACGCCGAGAGGATAGTATGGATGTATCGCCGCAGCCACGGGGACAGTTGTTGCGTTCATGGCGTTAAAGAATGTGGGGAGCTTTTGAGGCGGAGGAGGTGAGGGGGAGGGATATGAAGGAAGACAAAGGATGAAAGAATGGTGTTTTCGGAAAGATGTCGGTGATGGAGGCCAGATGACATTTTGAGGCTAGGTGCCATAGCAATTAAAAGCAAGGAAGCTACATGTAACTAGTAGCCGCGTGGCGCGTCATGAAGGGAGGTTGAGTTCGGTCGAGGCGCGCACCTGCCAAGATTCAACAAAAACTTGACGATTTTGACGAACTTGACAAACTTGACGCGCCCCGCCTCGACTCGTGTAAATGTGACTTGTTTTGGACTGTTTGATCACATATCACTCGACTACTTTCGCTTCTCTACAGTGAGGCTGCGAGATGTGCAACAGCGGCGTTTTGCGCCACATAAGCAGGCACCCGAGTGGCTCTTCAGCTCACCGCGAGCGCTCGGTTCCCATAAAGCTACCCCCGGGCTACCTCAAGCTCCTTGGCTGCAACGCGCCAGTCAAATCCATGTACACCGCTGATTCCTCGGCTCACATCACCGTTCAATTGCCATAATGCACGTGCGCTGCCTGCCAGATACAAGGGGTTAATCGTGGGTGAGCTGGCAATGATGCCCACCGTCACAATGAACAGAACCTGCTCGACCTTGCAGGATTTCCAGATTCCGGGGCGAAGCAGCGAATCTGTCGGTAATCTACAAAGCTAAGCCTATCACAGAGCCTATCCACCACTGCATGGCCAACTGCAGAAAAGTTTACGAGGGTCACTTGTCAGCAGGTGCAGTTTGCCAGAGACCGTACAAATTCAGTCGTTGTCCCTGCCTCTCGTTTCCGTAGGAGCTAGCCTCCCAAGGCATCGTCGGAAATCTAGATTCCGCACAAATGAAAGTATCGTTGTTATAACAGCTTCCATCATCATCCTCAGTCTCGTCCAAATATCAGCCTGGGATGTATCACAAGGACGTTGTCAAAAAGCCACTTCAGTCTGATCCTGGGCAAACTCGTCATGAAAGTCGTCATCGCTGGTGATCGAAAGCGTCAGATGACAGGTCTAGACGCCATCCGAACGGATGTTTGCGCTGGAGATACATGTGCTCCAATTGGCCACGAACTTCTCCGTATCCAGTACACAGCAACTCCGTCGTCGAAACCGGGATACGCAATTCTCCCACGCCGTTGCTCAGAGCACGCCTGGGTGCCTTTGATAAAGCCTGACCTCTTTGGCTGTTAAGAGTCTATCAAACCGCTTCGTGCTGGGCGTACGCTTCGCTTTTGGTGTCGATAACGGCAAGGGTTCCTGATACCAGGGCTAGGTGGTATGGCATTCTGCGACATGGTTGTTGAGGCGTCGATGAAGATGAGCTATAGTGTACTGCTCACTGGTTGATCTCGTGCCTTGACTAGCTGGCGGTGGACGCTCGCCGGTCGGAACTACTCGGCCTATGCTCAAAGCGCCAGCACAGGTAGGTCGGACACAGGTAGGTCGGACAAGGCAGATGCTCGTCATTATCCTTTCAGCGTTATTTCCAGCGACATGAGTTGCCTAATCCGCCCCGCCATGTCACTACTGATATGCCAAGAAGGCAGAAGGCGTCACTGTAGACGAAAACTGTTGTACAGTACCTCTACCATTTGGTCCTCCACCGACACAGACCTAATTTGTTGTCAGCTACTTCCTCGCAGAACCACCACAGCCGTTGCCAATAAGTGACCATGTCAGAGTTCAAGATGAACGACGATGTCGATACGGACCGATTTGATCACCAACATTTTCGACAACATGCGAGTGCGCCATCAAAGCCAACGAGCAGAGAAACCGTCTACCCAGAAGAAGACCTTTTTGCAGGCTTTGGGCCGGATTTTAACACTCCTCTTGAGTCTCTCGAGAATGACATCCCCATGGGCGATATTAATGCTCTTGTAGAAGCCGCGTCCCTTTCCGCGCTGGTCCTCGAGGCTTCTGTTTCTAGCGACGGCAATCCCTTCGCCCGACGTACAATACCAACAAAGCCTGCCACAATCATGCGGCCCAACTGGCGCACCGAGGCTGGCCAAAACATCCGCCCCCACTATTTCCACAACGCGTTCCTGCTGAATGGTGTAGAAGCCGTCGGAGCTCCCGGACCCGTTGGCCATCCTCCCGATGCTGGCTTCTCGCGTAGCAACCATTGGACACGATATCAACCCTATTCACGGGCGAGCAAGCCTCGGATCTCCAATGGTGTCAATCATCAAGCCTCCAACGACGTCAACATCGACACCGTCTCTGCCTACGAACGCCAGTACGCCGGCCTCGACGTGCAAACTAGCAACATCGGCTTCGACGCGTCCGATCCCGTCACTGGAACCAAGAGCATCAACGACGCCACGGCTAGCTTGGTTGCCAACATCGAGCGAAAGTACGCCAAAATCACGCCCGATGTGCTCGCGCAGGAAAAGCTGATTAGCGGCAAGGTGAAGGAAACGCCAAAGGGCTCGAGGGAGCGGGCGGATATGTATGAGCGTTGAAGGACCTTCGGCTTGCGCATACCCAGATGCAGCTTGCGAGCTTGAAGATGGGGCTCAAGTTGAAGGAAGACGAGAGAGGGACGGCGAAGAAATGTCAGCGAACCAGGGGGTGAAGATTGAGGAGACCGAGACCTGAGCGATGAAGTCGTGGATATGACGGTTGTTCGGCTTGGCTCGGCTCCTGCGCTCTGCAGATGCGTTTCGAAATTCATCAAAGGGCGAAGGGAGCATATTACCTACTATGCACAAATGTCTTTGTCGAGGCAGGTTCGTCGCAAACTCGTGTTCACCCAAAGCCAGATTCGGCCCTGCCGTTAGCTGAAACACATCGAAGAGTGGTCGAAATGAGTGCAGATGGCACCAGCAGGTCAACTCGAGGTTCAAGGCCAGAGGAAATTGCCAGATGCCAGATTCGGATACCGGAAACACACGTTGCCAGAAGTTTTTCTTCATTCTGCCCGCGCCTCGAGGTGCTGTTCATCCTCGAGTCATACATGACCTTTTTCCCGCATCTCCCAGGAGCTATCCCCTTTTTAAGCTCCGCCCTCTTTCCGCTGTCCGCAGAAGAACGCCTTGCAGTGAGAGTCGGTCTTGAAGGTAATAACCGCTCCCTTGGGAAAATAGAAAACATCGCCTGCCTTTGCCTGTCCACGTCGGAGAAGCGCGCGCACGAACGTCAGTCACAGAGATTCTCACTCACTCGCCCTCCTTTACAGCTTCTTGGGGACAGGACCACACCGTAAGAAGGGCGCATTTGTGGGGGGAACGAAAAATCACTACTCACATGAACCTCCTTCCCCGTGCCGTCCTTCAGAGTCCCCTCGCCTTCGAGGATGATCTTCATCTCGTGGTAGGTGTAGGTGTAGACGAGCTCGTGGCCGGGCTCGAAGCGGTAGATGCCGCAGCTGATGGGCTTCTCGGCGTCGACTTTGTCTGAGGACGAGATGTCGCCTAGGAAGTGGTTGTTGTGCGCGATTAGAGGCGGCTCGAAGGTTGAGGCCGCGGCGGCGTAGTGTGTCATTGCTGGGGAGGACATATTTGCGGTTGGGCGGTGGTGGTGTTTTTGTTTCGAAGGTTTACTATTGCTGCGATAGGTTCGGGTAGGATTGATTTTACGTCGATGCAGTTCGCCAGTGGCAGACGGGGAGGACTACAGCTTTACACGTATCTTATATGAGCTCTTACCTGTCAGCAACGCTGTAATCAAGCCCGACTAGCACCGATCTTTGATCCATTGCGTTCCACCGCGTTGATGGATAACGCGCTGGAGATAGGCGTAAGATGCGTCCCACGTGTTCGAGGGTATCGTGATTGGCGGACAGGAAGACAGCCATGCTCGATAAGGTAAGATGCTGCTTGCCGAGGCTGGACTGAAGGGGTTAAAGAAGGCAACAACTTCTCGCACTCTGATTGATCAACGAGGCCCAGATAAGTACCGACGCCTTTCCGTCCGAGAAATTGGAACGGTCTGCTTACTGGTGGTCATCGCCGAAAGATAAGCGGGGACTGGACGAGACAGTTGCACCTGCAGTCAAGCTGCAACATCTGCCAAGCTATTGATGTTACTGCAGTTTGCAGTGTGCTACGCTGGCAATACTGGGGCTCATCAGCTTGGCATCTGACTGAGGCCATCCTCTGAACGAAATGGCCCAGACTTGTGGACACGGCCTGGCACACCTGGCTTACTCGAGCTTACTCCTTGAAGCCACCAACTATGTCCCGAGGCCCGCCAACAGTCTCAGTGATGGTAGTACCGATGCTTGTCATGTTCTCGATCTTACTCTCATCAGGCTGTATGGTCGAGCATGGTTGAGTCGTCGCCGCAGAACGACACAGAGCGACCATGCCGCATGAGGCAAACCAGTCCTGACCTGCCCCGCGTTCGTGGCTGAAGCCAATCAAGCCTCCCAGCACTATCGATATCCGGCGTACGCTAGTCTGTCTGGAGTCTAGTGACATGCTAATCCTAATGCAGGCATGGTATTTCAACTCTCTCGCGCGTCACCATTGTGACCTTCGCCCAGCTTCAGCATATCATTATTCAAACCGCGGACAGCATGTTTCTGGATTTTTCTCTGCGTCTTTGACCTCTCCGACCGTTCCGTGCACCGACAAGGCTCCGATCAGCGTCCCACGCTCGGCGAGCCTCTTGCCATCCTACAGGGTGCAAGCTGAACGAGCAAGACGAATCGGGCACCGGCCGGACCACCATCTCCAACCCACGCGCAGGAGACACGCTGCACAAGCTAGCCCTGCTGACTTGGTAGGGACTTTGCAGAGACTGCTCCCACATCAGATCCACCAAGCCACCCCATACCCTTTGCCACGCCCCGGACCTACCTGCATTTAACTGGAATAACATCCCAAAACCCCCCGGCCTCCACCGAGCCTTTGAATTTTCGAGTACCTAGCCTGACTGAATAGGTAGGTCTTCGGTCTCAAAGAATAAACACACATGCATCGGCCTTCGCCTATAGGCTTGGTGGAGATACCTGGCACTGCCGCCGACGTAGCTGGTCCCTTGTCTACGCTGGATATGTATTGCTTCCAGATCGCTACCTAGGCAGTGGGCGAATGTCCCATGCCTGTGGAATTCCGGGCCGTTGCACCCATCATCCCGGGCTTTCCAGAAGCAGTATTGCTGACCGGGAGCTGACCGAGGTAAAGACCACTGGGCCATTGTCGATGAGCGTTGAGTCTCCCATTTGTCCGGCACATTCTGTACGTCTTGTGCTATGTGAGTTGTAGTCGTACTCTGTTCTACAAACCCGAGGTTGTAGACGATCGCAGTTCGATCGCCAGCACAGAAATAGCCTAGACAGAGCGGGCATAGCCTGATAGTAGCAAGTCCTGCACTCCACTCCCACGCCTGGTATGCATATTGTCGAATACATATCCTGGCTTGTCCAATGACACCATTCTGCAATGACCATGACGCGATTCCGCAAACATTCTAGCCTGGGCGATGAATTCCCAATGAACAGCAGTGCATGATCCCCATGGTGGTGTCCGACCCCACGCAGCCCGTGGCTCCTTCCCAGTAGGCACCTAGGCGTACTGCTGTGTTGCCGCAGTCCCAGCGCTGCGCAGTTGACAGCGGTCGGTGCCTCGCTTGGCGCTGGCAGACAATATCCGGGACCCAGAGCACTCCTCCTCACGCGGTGCCACTGACCCCAACAGCATCACCCACTTTCTCGTTCAGCTGCCTTCTCTATCTCCAAATAGTACGACAAATCAGGCACGTCTGCTGCTGCAAGTGGGAGAGCAAGCCAGAGGGAACAGAGACACAAAACTCTCTCACAACCTCCCAAACCACAGTCTGCAAAGCCGAAAACTCTACTTAGGTCTCTTTCTTCCGGCCCCGTCAGTTAACAGCTAAGCGCCAAAGCCAGAACCCAGCCGGCCGAGCAGCCTCTGGCCTCTGACCCGTCAGGCCTAAACCTGCCCTCCGGCCTGGCTACCTGACGCAGCAGCGCCCGCCTACCTCTCCCAGCGCTCATTCCTCATACCTCATATTGGAGCGTAGTCCCTTCCTCGCTCCCTCTCCGCCCGCCACACGCCACCACCAGGCTCCGTTCAACGTCCCTCTCGTCTCTTGCAGCTGTTTTTGGTTGTCAAACGCACAACACACTGCACGCCGTCCAAGACACCGCATCGCCTTGTCCAGTACCTGCGTTATCCGTTTCCCCGTTGCTAGCACTTCTCACCCTCGGCAATATCACCCGGAAGAACGTCCATACCATAGCGCAACTCACAACCTATATGGCGCGATCGAGACAAGTCTACAGACACACGCACATCCAGTACGCACAGAAGAACAAGTGGAGAATCAGTTTCGCCGCCACACATTCATAACTGCATCTCTGCCCGACGACATATACTGCCTGAGACGACTAGTGTATCCGTCACTGACCGAGCACCACCGAGTCTCCACTCTGACATTATATTCTTCACTGCCTGACCCCTCTCGCCGCCTGGTATCATCCGTCACGTACCTGAGATCACCTTTACACAATCATACCACCAACTCGGCCTACGAGACAGCACTGAAGGATCACCAAAGCCAAGTTGCACGTGCAGAAACCAACTTCGGGGCATATACGCGCGAGAAGGTCGCTATGGGATAACAGCCTGAAAACGGAAGCATTCTCATCATTCACGGACGCACGCACGCACGTCCAACCATCACACCCAACCTGGACTGGCCTTTTGTACGCTTGTCCTTTTCCACGAAACCCCTAAGCACTTTTGTCGCATTGGCTGTCCATTCAAATCCGGGCATCATTTCAGTGAACACACAATTTGTCGCTTTTGGGTATCAGTCTATCGTTTCGGTCATAACGCCAACCCACAAACACCCTGCTCAAACTTCTCCGAGCAAGGTCACCATCAATTCAACAGTCGAATTTTCCAGTCGCTGTCAAGTCGCATTCGGTGGTCTGATTCTGTTGCTGTCGCAATTGGAAATCTCCTCGAAGCCGGTACCGTTCAACGCCTTGCTAAAATACAGCAGCGAAACCTCTCGGTCTTGAGAACACCAGAACAGGCATCGCAACGCAACGAAAATCATCAGACATATCGATCATAAAACCTGGTCTTTGCTGGCAAGTCGAAAAGCAGACCCCAAGTCCACGCCGTATACTCCAGTCAAGATGACCGTCTCTCCCAAATCACCCATACATCACAAGGCTCCCCGCTCCCAACAGCGCAAAAAGTCGCCATCCGCAAAGTCGGCCGCCTTTGGTGAGAACTTCAGTCGCTATGCCGCCAGCACCGGGGGCGCACTGGACGACTACACGCGCAGTATGCGTCAGTACCTCGACAATGGTGACGCGGATCTCAAGCCGCGGAATAGTCGTGAAGCATCTCCGGAATTCTGTTGGCGGGATCTCGGTGAATTGCCGCAAATCCCAGACGATGCGCTAAGTTCCCGCAATAACAGTCTCAACCCCGTCCTGCAACCCTCGGAAGGTCGAAGGGAGAGTCGCGATTCCACGGCCGCCCAGGACCAAGACCAAGACCAAGACCATGAACAGGACGACATGGCCGATGATCATTCAACGTCGAGCCTAAGCAGCCATGTTTCAAACTTGCACATCAGCTCTAATCGTCATCGCACTGGTCGACATGATAATCGCCCTCAACATGATCATCATGATTTCCATCATAAAAAGTCATCATCCAAGAAATACTGCGTGACATGACAGCGTCAGTAAATTTCTTCCATACGCCAAATCAAAAAGGCACCGAAAGCAGCAACGCCTCAACGCAGCATTGCATCGCCTCGTCGTCGTCGCCATCAGCGACTCCAAGCATCGACAGCCCTTTTCGCCCGCAGCAGAAACAAAATCGTTTTTTCGCCACGACCGTGTTTTGTTCCATCACTCGATATCCATACCATAGCGCCACCCCAAAGTGGATCAGCCATAGCAGCGAATGCCAGGCATATTTGGCCTAGTCATGACCAAACACAAGAAATGAATCACACAAAAGACCCCAAATGCAATCAAAGTCCCAAGCGACTCAAACATGCAAAAGTGAACAAAGATGAAGAGAGAGAGAAGACTTACTTTCCCAGTCCCGTTCTGCCATCAAGCCCAGCCAGTGCAACCGCCCTCTGACCATATACTCATCCTCCAACAGGTCCACCACCCGTTCCGCCGGTGGCCGCCGACCCGTGCGCCCCGTGCTGACATTGCCCATGGCCATGCCCATACCCATGCCTATGCCCATGCTCGGAGGGGCCATGGTCGACATGGTATCAAACGTAGTGCGTCGTGAAGGCTTGAGGGGCGAATTATGACCCGATCGATTCCCGGGACTGTGACCAGTGCTGTTGCTGCCGCCGCCGCCATTGTTGTCCATGTCAAAGTAGTTGCTGGCATTGGAGTCGTCGCCACCGCTAAAATCGCCCGTACGTGCCCTCTGCTGCTGCGGCCCAGCGCCACCACCCATCATGGCGGGCACGAAGTCGTCGGCGCCGCCGCCGCCGCGGTTGCGATTGCGGCTATTGTTGCCTCCGCCGACGCCTCCTTGCTGTTGCTGCGGCGACTGCTGTTGCTGTTGCTGCTGCTGTTGCGCCATATGGCCCGCTCTCGCATTGAATCGACGCATCATCCTCTCCTTCTTGTCGGCCTCGTACTGCGCGCGCCTAGCCCAGATCTCGCGCGTGATGTCCCAGCAGCTGTCGACATTGCCGATCTTGAGACGCAGCATCATCGAGGCCCAGCGCTGGGAGACCCACTCCTGGTCGTCGGGTTCGGTGAGTTCGCACCCCGCGGCCAGCAGCGGGAAGATCTGGATGATGATGGTGCGGCTGGAGACGGGGACGGAGGCGAGGTAGAGCATGACTTTGCGCGCGAGGGCCTCGCATGTGAAGCTGGGGATTTCGGGGACGGCTTGGTGCAGGTACAATAGAGTGGCGTAGCGGTAGGCCTCGGCGGTTTGGATGGCGTGCATGACTTCCGAGGTGACGTCGTCAGGGCGCTCGAATTCGGCCGGGTTCGCGGGCTGCCATTGCTCGAGTTGGTTGCGGAGTTCTTCGGCCTGGGTGACGGTGTTGAGCGGGATGCGGTCGGAGCGGCGCACGCCCTGGATCAGGTGGTTGACGCGGCCGATGATGGGGAAGAGGGAGACGGCGCAGCCCATCAGGGGGTCGACGTCGAGGAGGTCGCCGATCGGTTGGTTGACCGTGTTGACGATGTCGTCGATGAGACCGTCGGGCGTTTCTTCCAGGTTGGTCAGCCGCGAGATGACGTCCATGTAGACGAAGGTGTTGCAGAGGAAGCGCCATTTGATGGCCTCGCGGGTAGAGAGTTGGCCTGCCTGGAGGCGTTGTTGGAAGTCGTTCACGGCGTGGATCACCATGGCCTTGGCGCCGCGGAGATGCTGGACGCCGGTGCTTAGAGTTTCGTCCCACCCCTCACCGAACGCGAGGACTAGGGATGTTGCTAATTTGGCGTCTGGACGCATGACATCCATGTTTTCGGAGAGCTTTGCAAGACTCTTGCGCATGTGGTAGATGCCGGGGACACGTAGGTTGGGGTAGTCTTGCCTGCCGTGGAAGGCTGTCATGGAGGCAATGGCGTGGTAGAGTGCTGGTGAGTCTCGAGCCAGGGGCCACACCAGGTTGCGCCAGGGGTTCTCGTTGGGGCCATCCTTGATGGAAAGAATGCCACAGGTGCTCTTGTCGAAGCGGAGCATCAACATCTCAGGGGAGGCAGGATCGAACTCGGGCTTGGCCATGACCGTCATGGTAGATGTCTTGGAAGAGTGGCTGGAAGCATTAGATGCAGCCCGCGAATTTCGACGTGGTGGCAATGCAGTCGTATCGATGGGGTTGACGGTCATTGGAGAGATATGCCGCTGAAGGAATTCGTCGTTGAATTCTTCATCCATCAGAAAGTTGTCGAATTGTCTGTGGTCATGGGATTGATCCATGTCGGTGCCAAGCGGTGGCATGTCTAGGAGATGCGGAGGAATCGACTCTCCTGAGCCGGCTGAGTTGGCGCTGCCATCGTCGGCCAGGGACGATGGGTGTCTGGGTCCAGGCAGCGAATAAGGATCTAGACCATCACCTGGGAAGTCGTTGTAGTCGAAGGACGGCAGATCATGTAACGCCGGATCCAGTGGCCCGGATGTTTGATCCATATCATCGTGGGATGTAGGAGGCTGGAAGGCATGTTTGGCATCGGCGAATGCAGTTGACAAGCCTGATGGAGACCAACTTGATGCTGCGTGTGCATCGTCTGATTTGGCCTGCGAGATGGGACGAGGCAGGGCGACTTCGTCTGGGTTGAAGGACAAAGAACGTGAATGCTTCTTGGTAGCTTTGGCGGCAGGCTTGGGGTTGAAGTTGGTCTCCTCAAAGGATCGCCACTTGTAGTCTTTTTTGTAGCCTTCACATTCGACATTGCGCTTGGCGCATTGCTGGCAGGTCGGTTTGGTCTCATCACATTTGAGCCGCTTCTTTTTACAGGTCATGCACCCTGGTCGCGTCTCCTGTCAGTCTGAGGGGTAAAGTTTTCTTGGGTTGGGGAATATACCATTGCGACTTTTGCTCTGCTTGGGCTTGGTGATGGCACCATCTTGAGTTGTACTGGAGGCCGCGCCGGGTTTTGTCGAGCCTTTTGGCGCCGTATTGGGTCGAGGCTTGCTGGGTTGTTTCTTCACCGGCCCAGGTGGGGGGTCGGGAACGGGTCTGATGATAGGCGATTTCTTGAGGAAGACGCTGGGGGAAGGAATCTCGATCTCCATACGACGCAACGCGGCATCGGCAAAGCAGCAGCTTGAGGTGTTGAGCTCAACTGGAGGGTCAGAGGTTCGCGACGGGTGAATATTGAAGGTGGGACAGGGAGAGAGATTGTGCGTGCGGTCGGCGGACAGTCGAGAGGAACAGGGTCGAGCGAACCGTTATCTCTGGTATCGCAGGTGGGAGTCTCGTGGCGGCATGTCTGGCGGGGAGGATACTGAATTGGACGCAGCCTCAATGGCCAGCCTGGCCAACACGGGGCCAGCCAGTACTCGAAGCGTCGAAGTGCTCCAGGGGTGGGCCGGGTGGTGCCCGACGATCTATCGCAGTACGCAAGCAAGCAAATGACCTCCCCAACATCCGCTAAATCCCGTCCAGTATAGGCGACGAAAAGGACCGTTAGTCGCGATAATTGGTGGTTGATAGCGGAAGCGTGCCCCGCGAAACCGAACTACGCAATCAGTCTTTGAGATGGGCGCCTCAAACGCCCAGAAGGGCCTCCCCTCCAGGCGTGAGGGGCCATCCCTGTATCGCTGCCCCTCCCCTCCCGGCTGATTACCACGGGCGGTGATTGGCGCTACGCCTCTCCCCAGAAATAAACCTGGGCGAGGATTTCCGCCTCATGTTCAGCTTCAAACTGCCCTATCTATGCTTCCGCCCTTTGAGTTCTCCATCGCTCGGTTGCAGGCGCCGGTGGTTCGCAATGCGATATAGCCATGGCATGTACCCAGTCACTAAGTCCATCTGTCATGTCGCTTCACGGGTGCGACCGGTAGCCCGACGCGACCACTCCAAAACTGTACAGAGTTGTGCGACCTCGAGCCGCCACGTTGACACATACGAAAGCCGATTCAGGACCAACTCCCCAAATCTGTATGCACGACTGAGTTTTTTTCCCTAGCTTCGTCTACCGGCGGTCTACGTGACGCCACGGACCACCTCGGCATGTACTGGCGGCCGACCTCATCCCGATGTCACCTCAAGACTTTGCTGGCGCTTGACATGAAGGTAGATGAGCCTGTTGTGCATGATTGATCTCTAGACTACGCCGTGGCATGACCGTGTCGTCGATGGATTGCGCGGGGAACTGATTCTCATGTTCCCGCCGAGACTTGACTGTCATAAGCCGAGACCGCCATCATCCCCGTCAGCAATGCATCCCGCGTGAGTAGCCGCGGTTTGATGATTGGTTCATGAATCATAACCACGCTTGTGATGCACTTACAGCCCACATGGCCCCCATTGGAAGTATTGCCACGGCATGGATGATGAATCGAGACTGGATCTTGCCGACGAGCTGACCCTTTCCGTGTGACAGACGATTTCAGCACAGGATCTCAACCCAAATAACACGCTGGTTAGCCAATATACGCATAGCTGCAGCGGGGGGGACGGAATTGCAATAGGCGGAAAGGGTGCTTGCAGATGGTTGCCTCAGGGCCGCCAAGACAAGGCAACATGTTGTCGATCTTTTCATCAACACACGCACGACCCTTTGGCTGCTACGTCGAATACCCAAGAACCGAGTTCTCTCAAGCCCGAATCCACTATTGACCGGACTTGTGACCACTGCCAGGCTCACGAGCACTTGGACGGGTCCTCGTGGTTCCTATCGGGATTGAGCTTGACGAACGGAACGAAACTCCATCATTCAACTCCGAGTCGGCCAAGCAGAAACAGCTCATCGCCAATTTGAGACGTACCGTCAATGGACCTATGAGCTCTCGTGATGCACTGCCCAAACTCAAGCCTTTTCTCAATGAGCAGCCTGGCCACGAGGCCTTGTTGCAACCATTCCGGATATCAAGATTACGCCATCTTCAAACATGTTGGATGAGAACCGTTAACGTTGGTCGCCTCCGAGAAGACCACACAAGCTCGCCCACCAAGTTCGCCTTCCCGTCAAACACAATGACAACACTTCAATCGTTTCAGACAGCTGCTCCGTGCAAAACAAATGCTATCTACTGCTCTGGCCATCACTCGTAGCCTAACCCTAACGTCTCACCCCTACCTCACACCTCCATCTCCCTGCCACCCCTGAGCTCCAAAAACCCCCTTACCACATCCACCACACAATCCTCGAACCCCCTCAATCCCCCGCCAAACACACGCACCGTCTCCCCCGCCTCAAACGGCAACCTCACCGTCTCCGCCCGTCCCCTACAAGAGAACACCGCCTCTCCCCCTTCCCCTCCCACCACCATCTCCGGAAACCGCCGCCTCACGATCTCCTTTGCGTCCTCGAACGCCACTTCTTCGGAGACATCATTGCTCACGCCGAAATTCCTGTGCGTGCCGTTCGCCACCTGCACGATCGCGTCGTCGAGGGCAGCGACGTGCACGCGCGCCACGTCGGCGACGTGACAGATGGCGGCAGGGGTGATGTGGGGGTGTGGCAGGTCGATGCCGAGCAGGGGGGCGAGAATGAAGAAGTTTGTGGTGTGCAGGTAGGCCGAGGCGGAGGTGGCGAGGGGGTGCGGGCCGAGGGTGAAGGAGGGGAGGATGTTGATGATGGGAAAGTGCAGGGTTTGGCGGTGGGTGGCGAGGAAGGAGAGAGTGAGTTGCAGGGCCAGGGCTTTGGTGACGTGGTAGGCGTCGTTGGTGCAGGAGAACGGGCCGGTGAGGGGGCGGTGGGGAGGGGGCGTGTTGGGGGTGAAGGAGGCGATGGGGAGGGGGGTGGGATGTGAGGGGTTGTCGGTGGTGTCCCAGAGCTGAGGGACTAGGGCGCCGGCCGAGGAGGTGAGGACTACGCGCTTGATGCTGGGCTGGGCCTTTGCAGCGTCGAGGAAGAGCTGGAGCGCGATGCAGTTGGGTTCAATGAGGCGGCGGTGGACTTGCGCGCCGTCGGTGTAGTCGATGTCCGGCGCGGGGAGACCCGCAGCGACGTGGATGACATACTCGACGTCTTCGAGGGCTTTGTCGAAGGCTCCTGGCGCGAGGAAGTTGGGGACGATGATGAATGAGAGGCTCGGGAGGAATGGTTGCAACTCGTTGGCGGCGGTGATGGCTTTGGCTTTTTCTTGCGAGCGAACAACTGCTCGTACGTTGTAGCCTTTGCTGAGGGCTTCTACGAGCACGGCGAAGCCGATGAAGCCTGAGCCACCGGTAAGGAGCACCAGACCGCGTGACATCTGTGCGGTGATTGGGAGCGAAGGATCCGTGCACGACGCGTCCGGGCGCATGGTTATATCGTTGCTCCATATCATATTGTGCGTAAGGGTGGAGAACCCGTCCAGACCAGAAGGCCTGAAGCATAAGCTGGCACGAGGCCAAGCGCCTGGCAGGAGCTCATCGCGACAACATTGTAGAGAAGAATGATCCCTGTCATGTACTGAATGTGCTGGGCACTAGTGGTTTCTGGGCAAAACCTCGTTCAGTAGCGGAGAAGACGGGGCTTGGTACTGCACAATTGCCGAAGAAAGACGATGCGTGCGAACCTGCATGAACGAGGTATTAAGTAGGATCTACAAGACCTGCTCACCGATATCGCGGGATTTGGGATATGCCTGCCGGTTACATCTTTTTGTAGTCAGTTCTGCCCTTCTTTGCATGGCTTTAGGCCAACCATTGTTGACTCCGGTGGTAGTATCAGACCGTACGGACCATTTTGCTAAGCTCAGACGACGAGCAAAGCTCCAGCTAGTAGGACGGGTGTCAAAAGCTGTCCAAATCCACCGAAATGGATCAAATCCAACCCCAATAAATTCGATGCTCTAGCTCTCCCTGCCCCTCCAGTGCTTGGCAGTGGCTTGGGTCCTGAGGGCCAGGTGCTGTTGTAGGATGTGTTGCCGAGATGGGAGACGTCCACTGCCTGGATAGCGAAGCTATCGTATTGACTGACGAGGAGTTTGTTCCCATCAGGGCTGACCCCAAACTCTCTTGGAAACAGACCGGTTGGCAATCTCGCGAAGGCCTGTGTTCCAGTCAACGCCGCTTGAACGTCAACAAACGTAAGCCCTGAAACCGCTCCTGTTTTGTTGAATCTGTTGGAATCTGCTGTTACGACATAGCTGCCGTTGTTGACCAAGGCGACCCCAACGGGGGCGTCACCGACCTGAACTCTTGCCACAAGCGCATCCTGAGCAGTGCCATTGGTGGCCAGGGCGGATGCATCGAAGGCCAGGAGCATGTTACTGGCTCGAGCCGATACCCAGACCTGATTGCCGTCTGGAGACAGCACTACTCGGACGGGCTCGCAGCCAGCAGGTACGGATCGCAATAAAGCGTGCGCAGGATGTGTCTGCAGTGTTGTGACATCGAGAACGCTTAGAGATCCGCCAGTTGTGTTGGTTTTGAAAGCTTCGACTGTGAGCTCACTCAAGCCATACAGCAGTGAACCATCTGCAGAAAGAGCAGTTCCAACCAGCGCATAGTCAAGGGTGGCGTAGCCTAGCTGATCACCGGAGAGAGAACCATTGTCAGATCTTCGAAGTTCGAAGACCTCAATGGCTCCTCGACTTTTTGTAGCATTCTTGGACCCATACTCCTGACTAACGAAAGCGAGATCTTCGTTAGCCGACAATGTGACATGAATCGCGCTCGTGCCGACTGTGCCTCTCAGTAGACCGATGATGGAATTGTTGAATCCCGCTGATGCTTTGTCAACATCGAAAACCACAGCGCCTTGCCCAGTGGCCACGTAGACGGTCGATTTATCCTGAGTGATGGCAAGGCCACCAGCACCATCGCCACTGTCGTAGAAATCGCGGGGAAAAGGCAGGAGATGTAGTAAGGTCGGCTCGAGCGCGGTGGTGTTCAGGACCGCCAAAGCACCTCCTATGGCTGAGAAAGCGAGGTCATTGCTGGCGAATACGATACCGAAGGGACGATCGTGGAGAGTCAGGTTGCCTGATGGTAAGTCGAGGGCTTGTTGAGTGGGAGCAAGGGTTTGGCATGCTGGGGCTGATAGTGCTGATGCAATTGCAGCCAATACCAGAACAACAAGAGCAAAGCTAGTCATTGAGTGTTTGATAGCTTGGGTGAGCATGGTGCTGGGTCTTGACGTAGATGGCCACCTGCCTAGAATTGCCCTTACTTTGGTTTTATACTTCTGAATCCGGCTCTGGTGTCTGTACCATCTCGGCGACAGGGTCTCATGAGGTCAATACGGCCACGTAAACGGATGATGTCCGCACTCAATGATTCCATGGGTAACATCCCCCGAATGTGCAGAGACTGCGAGGTCAAGCTATAAATAAAGTAGTGTCCTGAAGGCTTGTGCCTCGATACACTGTTCTCATTCGCTCCCTGGGAGGGATGTGCCGCGAGCGGCTGGGGGAAAGCATCATCTGGGGGCGATTGCGGTGTTATTCGCAATTGATGGTGCAAAGAGGCAATGCTCGGCAATCAGGCCCTCCACTTGGGTTGCCAGAGGCGACCAAAGACGCAACAATATGGGCAGCTGGTCCTCGTCGGAGTCCCGGACGCGTTGCACCTTTTGTGGTTCTTGAAAATCATGGCACGCGTCAAAGGAGTTTGACGGACTTATGATAGCTAGACGGGAAAACAAGGATATTGAAGATGGGGAACGATGGCAGACGGTCAGGACGGAACTCTGCCAACGTCCATGTCAACGCCAAGCCAACAAGCTCATCTTATCAAGACCTCCGCCAGGCTTGGTAGTCTTCTCACCTTCCTCATTGTGCTTAAGCACTAATCGCATGTCTTGTGCGTCTCCCGTGCAATGTATGGGGCGACCTGGTCCGTATGGCTTGGGTCGCATCGCATAGAGGATCAGCATGTTGCCAAGGGACCCGTTGCGTGGGTCAAATGTGAGATACCTCTCCGAGCACCACCAAATGCTCATGGATGGACGTATCCATCTAACCCAAGCAATGGATCAGCTCCAGAGACATCTGGGGTAGGATAAGTCCGAGCACAATGTGCATTAATAGCCATCAAGACCCGGTCCATCAACTCCCGGTAAGCGCTCTGAGATTGAAGGTGAGCTGAACGGTGTTTGTCGTTGAGCCAGCATGAAGAACTTCCTCGGTAGAGCTCTGCTCTGCAGCATCCTCCCATCTGTTCTTGCCCAGTTCCCCAAAGAGCCCACTGGGGTGACGGTGCTCAACTCTAGGTTCGGAGAGGGAGTCAAAATCAGCTACAAGGAGGTGAGTTGTTATGCTTGGCCGACATCCACGTGCTCACACAAGTACAGCCCGGTATTTGCGAGACCACCCCAGGTGTCAAGTCTTATGCTGGCTGGATCCATTTGCCGCCAGGAACGCTTGATGATTATGGCACGCCGCAGAATTACTCCGTCAACACTTTCTTCTGGTTCTTCGAGGCCAGGAAGGATCCAGAAAATGCGCCTACAACATTCTGGATGAACGGTGGCCCTGGAAGTTCTTCGATGTTTGGACTACTCGACGAGCACGGTCCATGCTTTGTGCACTCGGACTCTAATTCGACCTACCTTAATGAGTGGTCATGGAACAATGAAGGTACGCAATACTGAATTTTTCTGCAGACTCGGGCTGACACTTCTAGTCAACATGCTCTACATCGACCAGCCAAATCAAGTCGGCTTGTCATACGACGAACTTTCCAATATCACCAAGAACGTCTTGACGGGTGAGATCACCTATCTCAACGACACATCGGAAATTCCCGAGCAGAATGCCACCTTCCAGGTCGGTACTTACCCCAGTGGCGAAATGAGTGCCACGGCCAGAGGTAGTCGCAATGCCGCCTATGCGTTATGGCACTTTGCGCAGACCTTCTTCAGCGAGTTCCCTGGATATCATCCGAACGATGGGCGGATCTCCATGGGTACCCAATCCTACGGTGGCCGCTACGGACCTGCTACCATGGCCTTCTTTGAGGAGCAGAACCAGAGGATTTCGAATGGCGAGCTTGACGAGGCTGACGATTGGAACGTGCTGCATCTTGACACTTTGCTTATTGTCAACGGCTGCATCGATCGCGCTACACAATGGCCGTCCTACCCAGAAATTGCAGTCAACAATACGTACGGCGTAGTAGCTGTCAATGAGAGCGTCTACGAAGGCATGCGGGACTCTGTGCCTGAGTGCGTGCAGAAGATTGAGGACTGTCAAGCCGTGGCCGATGTCTACGATCCAGAGCATATTGGCATCAACGACACCGTCAACGCCATCTGCGAAGAGGCTGAGAGCTGGTGTACGGAGTACGTGCGTGACCCGTATCTGGAGCACAGTGGACGAGCCTACTACGATTACACCATCCTTGAGCCAAATTTGTTCCCACCACCATTCTACCAAGGCTTCATGAACCAACCGTGGGTCCAGGAAGCCATCGGTACTCCTTTGAACTGGACCGGATCGTCTTCCGCGTCGTCTCGCGCGTTTCGGAGCATGGGCGACTACCCTCGCTCTGGCTGGCTCGATTATCTGGCGTATCTGCTCGATAACGGCATCAAGGTCAACTTGCTGTACGGAGACCGGGACTTTGCGTGCAATTGGATTGGCGGCGAAGCAGCATCTCTTGGAATTAGTTATGAGGGAGCAGAAGGTTTCCGATCTGCTGGGTACGAGGGAATCCAAGCCAACGAGAGCTATGTTGGAGGCCAGGTACGTCAGAATGGCAACCTCAGTTTTGTGAGATTGTACGAAGCCGGTCACGAAGCGCCAGGATACCAAGGTGAGACTGCATACAAGATTTTCACACGAGTGCTGTTCAACAAGGACGTTGCGACGGGTGAGATCGACACGCTGGCCAACCCGGACTACCACACCGTCGGTCCGGACAATACCTGGGAATTCCGCACGCCAGGTCCCGAGCAGCCAGCACAGTTTTGCTACGTCCTTGACCCGGGCACGTGTACGGATGAACAGGTGCAGGCTCTTGAAAACGGAACTGCCGTCATCAGGGACTATATCTTGGTCGATGCCAATTCTACGAAGATTTGGCCTGACTTGGCAGAGAGAGGCGCGCCCGGCGCTGATGACGAGAAGACAGAAGAGGTCAAGAGGCGATCCGTGGCCTGGCAGGCGTGATCGAGGTTGCTGTTGATTGGTAGACGGAGGGAGCCACCATCGATGGTGTGGTGTCGGTGACTGTCGGGTGCTCTCAACAACGACAGACTCAAATAGGACAAGGACGTAGACCGACAGAAGCTGTGAGTGGATACTGGCACGCCAGGAGTCGTCTTGCATTCACTGTCTGGGATGTACGGTCGAAGGTATTATCGCCAGGCTACAAAGAGTGACGTTTAGCCTGACACTGAATACATGATTCAAACAACGTCATATTCTGGTCAGCAGACCATCGGTATGTTGCCTCGTGCTTTGAACAACACCACCAACTCGACGAACGACGGACAGAACACCGCCACAGTACGATTGTTCCCTTACCATTCGCCTCCACCGCCACAGCAGAGCCTTCGCCCTCGCGCGCCAAGGCGCAGATGGAGCGATCCTCGGCGTGGTATGACGTTGAGTCGCCCCATCCCGCAAGCTGGCTCCCACCAACACCCGTCCACTCAACAGTTCGTATCTCATCGACATCTGTCTGACAGGCCTATCGCTGCTAGGGCTGCTTCAAGGGGCCTCGCTTACCCCTGTCGTGCGGCGATTGTTCTGCAAGTTCAGTCTCGGTATCACTTGCCTTTTGATCGATGACTTTTGCGCGCATCGATCCATCATGAAAGCCATCCTGCTCACGCTCCTCAAACTGAACGACATGTCATGGCGGAAGAATACCCATCCGGCTCAACAACGATATACTTTTTTCTGCAGTGTCACGAGGTAGTACCTTGCAAGAAAACCTCTAGCGAAAAGGCAGAGAAATCTCCCATCCTCTCGGGTCATCATGACACGCATAGAGTTTTTGACAGCTGATCAGCACCCCTGCGAGACACAACCTGTGGCTCGACTACTCAGATTTGCTGGAGCTGGTGATATCTTCCCCAGCGCCGCCACCAATAACCCCAGCATCCAACAGGCGCCTCGCGCCGGCTACAAACTAGTCCTGTCAACTGCCCCCTTTCCGCGAACCCGCGCACTGGGCACTTACTTGAAGAGGGTGCAATCGGTGGAAATGCTCGATCTCGCTCCTATCACGATTCAGATCAAGATCACAATGTCGTCCATATCCGTAGAGCCATCCCCAGGCATTCGCTCTTCCAGAATCAAAAGTGACTTGCTTGTCTTCTCCTGTTGTTCTAGCTTCAATTTACCAGTTTACTCGTACCAATCCTCCTCAAAAGCCGCACCGTCATCAGCTGGGGCTATTGCCGGAGGATTCTGTCGGCGCCCGTTGTAATTCCGCCTCGCCCAGTCTTTGCTGTATAACATCTGCAACACTGCCACCTGTTACTGGGGGTCGCCTGTCTGTGCCACATCTGCAAGCGAGTGAGCCTTTGTACACTCTCAACGCCTCACCTCCTGTACCATCAATTCAGGGGGGCAAATCCACCATTCTAGTCTAGTGTTTGGCTCCATCGCCACCCATTTATTGCACATCATCATCATCATCGCCATCGCCATCGCCATCTCACCACCTTCTCTTCAACCTCACCCGCCAACTACGCGCGCGATCGACTCTTTCAGCAAGCAAACGACGATCTCAACTCGCTCAACTTTCCCTCCGCTCGATCTCGCTTTCTCCACCTCCAACTCCACAACCACAACCATGCCATCAACCGCTCAACACCACCCCACCAAATCCTCCTCCCATCCAGTCCCCCACTCCCAAATGGTCCGCTTCCCCACCTTCCAGGACACACCCAAGACCGCCTGCGCCGCGGACTCCCTACGCCTCATCCTGGCCAAGTCGCGTTCGCACCAGCACGACACCCAGCAGTCGACGAGCCGTGGTGACGAAGGGGTCAGGAGGACGAGCACTCAGTCCACTAGTAGCAGTGGCAGTGGAAGTGGAGGGAGTCAGCGCAGTCTGAGCGGTTCGAGGAGTAGTAGCCAGAGCTCCAAGGCGAGTGATAAGCGGCCTAGTCGGTGACGTGGCGTGGACCCAGAGGTAGAAGAGGGGGTTTTGTGATGTGAGCGGGCTATGAGGCGAAGGCTACGAGTAGAACCACTGAGGTCTACGGCGATTACCCACGGCGCCACAACAGCGACAGGTGCTTTACTCACGTCTGCCCAGATCGTCCACCACCGGACAAAGACGAAAGCAATGCCACGCGGCTCGCTACATCGCCGACACACGGCTTTAACAACCCTACAGCCCAGCCAGCCAACCAACCTCAATCAGGCATGAGGACTGATGCGGCGATGCTTGCTACTCAAGCCCGTCGGCACAGGCCAACGCGGCTTCTCAGGCCTCGTCGATCACACCATGGCATGACAGCCCCTGGCAGATGTGAGATGGTATGAGAGCGCACCATCACTATCATGGCGCGCCCTTATTCACGCCCCAAGGACTTTATTTCCGGCCGAACGAATATCCCTGGCATAGCCCCAGTCACAGGCTACCTTCATTGCTTCATTGCATTCGCATCATCTCCTTGGCGTTTTAACTAGGCAGGCAATGGCTCCGTTTATCATCAGTTCTATACCAGATCACACTACACCACATTGTCGAAGGCGCATCAAAGGATACAGCAAGTCGGGGCAGGGCACGGCAGCATGGCACAGCATGGCAGAGCACCGCAGACAGGGCGAAGGCTGGATCTTTGCAAGACTTTTGTTTCACTTTTACTACTAATGTACAACACAAAACTACGCTACGACACGACACGATTGCCGTCAATACCGCGGTATATAAAGGTACTCTAATACATTTTGACATGCAAATTCCAGTTCTATCTCAACCATCCTTACCGCCGTCCTTTCACTCATGTCCATGTTCATGTTCATGTTCATACATTGCTCCCCTGAGCCACCATACTTGTAGAGTCTGGTCCTTCTCAATTTCCTGTTCCGTAAGACGGACGGTAGACGGCCGCCCGGACTTCGATTCGAGGCATCCCGGTTCACAATTGCGTGGACTGCCTGCCCCGCCCATTTCCCCTAGATTCATGCTTGAGTTTCATGCTTGAGACAGACGACATATATGTTTTGTTCTCGGTGGCGGGCTACGGCAGCTTAACCTACTTAGTTTTGCCGCAGTCAGCGTTATATCTGCCCGTGTTGTGCAGTGCAGTGTTGCGCAGTGCAGTGTTGTGCAGTGCAGTATAGTGTAATATCTATGCCCATCTACCCGTGACCCTAGTGCCACGGGCGCCGTCAACGTATTGAGCTCATTCATGTATGGCTAGAATTCTGGGACTGAGACACGGGGATAGGATAGGATGTGAGCTGGGGAGAGGCATGGTATCATAGGAAGAGAATGGAGAAGTGGGAAAAGAGGTCATGATACGGCAAAGTGTCTGTAAGGAACGCGCTGTCAAGTCTATTCACGCGAAGATTTCAGGAGTTTTTGGCAGTCTCCCCTGGTCTGTACAGAACACCTGCAACGAGCGCGCTTGAATCTGTAGCAAAAAAAGAAAACGTGTGGTAAAGCGCAGTGGGCAGGTGACTGACTGCACGTTGCTCACTGGTTGCTCACTCAGCAAGAACTTCTGCAATGTGAACCTCGATGTCCTTGAGGTGTATTGCACGCATCGTCTTCCTCCCCAGCTTCTACCCATCCTTCACTGCTCCATTCCCCTCACAGCCATGCCTCACCACACCCTCTAAGTGTGAGCCTTGACCTCCTTCTCAGCCTGCTTCTCGACTTCCACAGCCTTCGTCTCCACCTTCTTTGCGTCACCGAGAGCAATCGCCTTCATGTTCGAGAATGCGCCGCTCGCGCTGCCCGTCAGCTCCTTGTGATAGAGAAAGATGCGGGAGCATTGCGTCAGACCAACACAGAAGAGGCAGAAGTTGACCGCTGCCAGACTATTCCCCGTCCTGTTAGCATGTCTTTATGGTACAGCTACCGAACGAGCGGGTGAGGCAGCAAGGCCGGAGAGGTAGAATCCAAGACGTACAGCATGTTCTGTGGTCGGATGACGAAGCACCAGCGCGTCCAGATAGACCCGGTGGCCAGGAGAGCCATGTTCTGTGTGAGGGAGAGCTTCTCCGCCGGACGGAGGAAGTCGGTGGCGCCGGCGAGGACGACGCCCCATTTCATTACAGGTGCCCTGTTCCCACCGCGTTAGCACAGTATCCCATCTATACTACTATCATGCTGTTTCGGCCGAGCAGACGCCTGCGGAACCCGCTGCTCAGATAGTATGCATGATTGTGACGCACCAGAAATGCACCGTCTTGATTCCAACCTCACTCGTCCACATGCGCTGGAAGACATTTGGCTGGGGACCCTCGGCGGCTGCGGCGGGGTTCGAAGCCGTCGTCTGCTGGCGTTTAAAGGCGTTGCCGAAGCGCGACCGCGCAAACGACTGTCTCGCCGAGGTGTAGAACCGGAAGCCGGCTCGCGCGGACATCCTTGCGATTGGGAAGAAGTATGGGTGCCTGTGTGTCACACGTCCGAGGGGTTCGCGCAAGGTAGGCACCAATGCCGTCGAGATCTGGAGCGGAGAGTAGAGGATAAATGATGCGGTGGTGAGGAGAGATAGAGGTGAATCGGGGTGAGGAGTCAGTATTCTTGCGGTTAAACGTTGGGTTGGACTGCGGGAAGAGCTCTCCGCCGATTAAGTCCGATCGGCGACTGCCAAGCCTGGACTTTGCGAACTGCAAAGCATTGAAGCTGCGACGAATCTACCCTCAGTCTACCGCGCGTGCAGCAGCTTCTCTGGGATCCTGTAGCTGCGCGAGTCGATTATCGAAGTCAAGATGGCCGCCAGATACGCTTTCGCCAACAGCCTGCGCGAGGTGCGCTTCCATTTGTGCTCGTCGAGTCAAGCGAGTGAAGCTGCCAGGTAGGCTCTGGCACCGTCAAGAAGGCCACCTGAAAGCTAACGGTGAGGCTGCAGGACGTTCATCAAGCGCGCATATCCTACGATGAAGAAGCACAACCCCGAGACACCGATTCTGATACGGGAAGCGACCGGTGTGGCGCCAAAAGTGTGGGCGAGATACGGTTCGTTGCAGCAAGACCAACACTCGCGAGGACAAGCTGACTCAAATGTAGCAAAGGGACGAGAAGTTTCAGAGGAACTGTCAGGTATGGACCGTCCGTCGGATGATGAGCTTGCGAGACTGACACTACACAGGATTGAGCGACAAGGAAATCGAGGAGAAGGTCTCGACCATCGTCAGGTCCGACTCGTAACAGTGAGCGAGCCAGAGACACGGTTCGCTGTTGAACGGCACTGTACGACTAAAAAGCCACTGCACCAGGCTGAGCACCTGACATATGCGATGTATATACGCTCGATGCAAGAAGCAATCCAAAAAGACCTCACAATCCACGAACCTCCCTTCGAACTAAGCCTCCACCTCCCCAAAGCGATATTGTCCCCAGCTCATACTCCCCTCCACCTTCGTCCACAGCATCCTCCCCTGATCACTGCCCGCAGCGCCGACGCCAACATGAATCGGCAGCAAATGCTCAAAAGTCGGATGAGCCTGTCTGGCATCTCTCCTCTGCAACAGCGCCTTCATCTCCCGATCCCTCTCCTCACCGGGTTGCCTCTCCACCGCCTCCTTAAGCGCCATATCAAAGCTCTCCGCATACGCAAACCCACCAACCCCCCTACCCGCACCACCCCTAAAATCCCTCAGATTATGCACCGCCATCCCACTCACCACAACCAGCACCCCCTCTCCCCTCAACTTCTCCAGGGCCCTCCCCATCTTCAAATGGCTCTCCGCATCCCCCTCCTCCTCCTGCGGTCTCAGACTAACCTGCACAACCGGCACCGTCAACTCACTTTCCACTTCTTTATCAAACATGATCTTAAACGGCACAAACACGCCATGATCCAACCCCCTCTCCGTCAACACCGCCCTCACCCCTCCCTCCCCCAACACCCTGACCACCCTCTCCGCCAAACTCCTCGAGCCCACATGCGGGAACTTCTCGGCGTAGTAGTGGCGCGGAAACCCGTAGAAGTCGTAGAGCAGCGGCTCGTGCTCGGCGCCGTTGACTTGGACCGCACCCGGAACCATGGACTGCCAGTGCGCGGAGATTACGACGATGGCTTTGGGGCGCACTTTCTGCATGATCTCCTGGCCTAGGGACTGCAGTTTGGGGAAGACCGGGTGCTGCCGGTCGTACATGGTCGTGGGTCCGCCGTGGGAGACGAAGTAGACGGGCGTGCGCTTTGTGAGTGGTGGGGTTGTGTCGTTGGTGGTGGTGGTGGCGGCGGTGGAGTGTGAGGCCATGCTTGTGGTGGTGGTGGTGGTGGTGTGGAGGGTTTGGAACAGGGATGAGAGACGGGCGAGTGGCTTGGACGCCAGCAGTGTTGCGTGGGGGGCCAGGTCTGCGCCGATAGTCAGGGCGACAAGGATGACTAGTAGTGCAGCGAGTAGTGCGGTGAGTGTGCGGGCTCCGGGGTGGGAACGAGGCATACACCGGGCTGGAGAAGATGGACGGGACTGAGATGGATGCAATTGTCTGCTTGCTTCGTACTCTTGCTTCCGGGGACGGGCGTGATGAGGCAGGATCTCGCTTGGCTCTTATATTGTCTATCTGCAGCGACAATTCTCGTAAGCAGCCGGCAAATGGTACGGATAGTGCACTGTTGGAAGTAGATGCAGTGGTTGCCTTGCGAGGCAGCGATTCCTAAGCTCGTGTTAAAGGCGCGGAAGTCTTCCGTCGGTGTTGTCCGGATTGCGGATTCTCGGTGCGAGGGGCGATGGCGATAGGTCTCTGTGGACGAGCGACGAACGAGGATGGTTTCGAGTAGCTGCAGAAGTGCAACACTGTCGAGACAATAATGTTTCGTGCTGAGTGATGCAGTAGATCCTAGAAGACGTGGTGGCAGTTGCGCAGACTCATGACACAGCGGGCAATCTAGTCATTGCTCAAATACAGTGTACGAGGCGACGTCCAGTGAGTTCATACCACAAAATTTCTCTCGGAAACCATTTCTGCCTTCAAGGCTGACTACAGCCACTCCGATCATTGCCTTGATTCGTATAAGTGCAGCCGTCTTGAAATGGCAGCTCAAGCCAACGCAAACGGTCTTCATACGCCTCGGTCTTCTTCAACGGCCTAAGCTTGTCATCGCACATGGATCTCCGCCTCGCCTCTTCTTTGATGCATTCCTCAGCACTCTTCTTGCGGCCAATTGGCGCTGCCTCAGCCCTCGCTTCTCTGTCTTTGTCCTCCCGGATTATGTCTACTGGGAAGTCGCCAGTCTTCTTGACAAAGTGCACGATGGCCGTCATTTTGTGCTGCTTCAATTTGTCCTCCTAGGTCTCCCTCCTGCATCGTCCATACACGTAGCGGAATGCATGATGATTCTGGTATTCTCTGATCGTACGGATATCCTTGGGTGCCCACCCTTCGGTTCCTTGAATGATCTTATCAAGCTTGCTGTCGAGGTGGCAATTGCCCATCAGGTAAGGCCAGATCAGGTTGGTCAGCTTGACTAATGTCGCGGACACGGGGTCGGCGTCGCTGTGCACGTGCTCGAAGAAGAGGAACTCGCCACCGTGCTTGAGGAGTGCGTGGATTATAGCGACTGTTGCCGTCATCTCGGTGGGGTGCATGGAGCACATGCTTTTGACGGCCACGATTGTGTCGAAAATGCCATCTTTGGGAAGGCTTTTTGCGTCCGCATTGATGAGTCCAGCGTCTTTGAGTGCTTTGATAAGCGACCCAGGTTCAGCACCGGCATTCAGTATGCGGTACTTGGGCCGACCAATTCCCGCAGCGGCAGATTTCGCGAGCAGTTGCTCATGGAGATCTTTGTTCGGTTCGGCGCCGTACAAAAGCTCAATCTGAGCGGGGTTGTAGTGTCGTGACTGGTCGCCAGTACCAGGTCCAAGCTCCAAGACGACTCCACGAGCACGCTGGAGTAGCTCGTGAATGTAGGGATCCTGAACGGGCTCAGCTGTCGTCAGATTAGCATTGATCGAGCTTCGACCTCAGGATATGATAGACTGACCCGCCATTTGAGGGCCTATATGCTTCCAGAACCTGCCGAACCATTTGTCCCGAAACCTGGAGAACGAGAACCAGATCGAAGGTGTGATGGGGAAAAGTAGAAGGGTCACCCAGAGATAGAAGAGAGATAGACCGATCAGTGTGATGGGCTTCTGCCAGGCTTGCACGTAGGCCAGCAGCGACGGCATGATGGACTACTAATAGGGCCAATCTAGAAATGAGAGTACCAGATGAAGTACGTAACGTCGAAACGAAAGACACTTACAGTTGGATGAGATGAGCCATTCGAGAAGTAATATTCGCTGGTAAGCCTGTTCAGACCGTCCGATGTGCGCAGCTTGCTCGTATACAAGAGGGGGCGAGCCAATGTCGCGGAAGGCACCAGGGACTGTCAGGTGACCACTGGGGATACCAAGTATACTTCTTTACCTCGGCTTCAGCTGGAAAAGTGGTCGCCAATCTGATCCGTAAGTTGGAGGCGAGAAGACAGCGGCTAAACAAGCTCATCTCCCTTTGAATCTATCTGCTTTTGGGTATTTTATGAACCAGTGTCGCCTTTGGTAAGCAACAAGTCTTCCCCGAACATCTCATCAATCATAGAGCAATTCACCACATCCGTTCTCGCTCACGCCACCGTCTTCTCGGTCAGCTCAATGCCATACTCCTTCTTGAGCTCAGTGAGTAGCGGCTCTGCAACATCCCAGGTAACGGGCGCGAGCACACCCTTCTTGCTGATCCGTCCATCGAGCACCATCAAGCAAGCCACCGCGCAAGGGACACCCACCAGCTTAGCCATAGCACTGTAACCCTTGGGGTCGCCGTACTCCACCAACGTGCTCGTCCGTGTCTCCTTGGAACCATCCTTGTGCTCAATCTCGAACTTGTGCTGAAGCATGACCATGTCTCGCTCACTCTCCTCGTACTGCATCTTCTGCTCCAGGGTCGCGCAGAGGGTGTCGAGGGGGTTGCCTCGAGGAGTGATCTTGGACTCGCTGAAAAGACCAAGCCACTTCATGCCGTTGAGGATGCGATTCTTCTCGGCAGTGTCTGCGAAAGAAGTCTTGCTTGAAATGCCCCAGTGCAGGTCGGTTTCACTCTTGGAGCTGGCGCCAATGATCTTCTGTGTGGCCTCTGCCCAAGTGATCTCCTTGTCGAGGAAGTCATGCTTCTCTTCCGACAAGAAACCAATGTCGACCAACACCTTGACGAATTCTGGGAATCCCTGGTAGCGGAGTGTACCGCGAACAACGGTTTGTGCCTCTGGGATATTGTATCGCTCGCGATAAGGAGTGCTGTCGCGGTTGGGGTAGGCAACGAAAGCGAAACCAGGGTAGATATAGTACGGCTTAGCAGTAGCCATCAGGTCAGGACCAGCAATGGACACCTCCTTTCCATCCTGGTAGAACTTGGCAGCATTTCGAAGTGCAAGCAGCACGCCACGGCTGGACCAGCTGAACTTGTAACCGAGTGGGTTGTCCGAGGCTTCTGGCGCAGGCAGACCGCCACAATAGCTGTAGAAGCCGGTAACTTTACCGCCCTCTCTGTGGACATCTTCAATGGTCTTGACGGCGTAGAGATGGTCAATACCAGGGTCGAGTCCGATTTCGTTCATGACCGTAATGCCAGCGTCGATACACTGTTGCTCCAACTCCTGCATGGCAGGCGAAACGTATGAAGTAGTGACGACATTCTTCTTGTTGCGAATGGCAGACTTGATGACGGTCGCGTGGAAGGTATACGGGATGAGGGAGATGACAAGGTCGGAGCGTGCAACTTCGGCATCGAGCGCCTTGTCGTCGGTCACATCGAGGGAAACAGGGCGGGTGTTCTTGATGCCAGCAGATAGCTTCTTCGCCGATTCAAGAGTACGGCAGGCTACAGGAACGTCAGCATGAACCACGGTCAGGATCTTGTGGTCATGACTCACCAATGGTAACCTCAATGCCAGAGTTGGCAAGGATCTCGACGGTAGGCTTGGTAACGAAGCCGGCACCCAGTAGTAGTGCCTTCTGGCTAGAGAGACCCAGCTTTTGCTGGAGGGTGGAAGCGAGGCCGGCCATGCTGTATGGTATGTTCAGATGTGCTGAGTTGAGCTGATTCGATGGTAACACTGAAATGCGATATCGCTCGTGACTCTGGGAGAAATTCTTGTGCAAGTAAACATTTTGCAGCCAACGGCGTGCGGGGACGTCCTCGTCTTGCACTCTCCTGGCTGCCCCGCGCCTTGCGTCAACGCCAAGCAAAGGTACCGACACAGCAGCCAGAGAAGTAGCATTGATGAACTTTTGATCTTTACCTGATCGTGACCTGTCTACTGGCTATCTACCTAGGTATCGCCTCCCGCTTCCGCATTGGTTTGCTGACATAGCCAGCTCTACCTGTTGGCGTAGTGGAGTTGTCGTGACTGTGGCTTCTGCTCCTGTGCTTAGCTTCGCTCCAGCGACTCAGCACCGAATTCCTTACAGCGCCATGTATGCACTCAGCACTTTCTTCCCGTCGTCACTTAGCGACTCTTGCACCGTCTTCCCGATCCTGCCACTGTGTCGCTGATCGGCGTCTTTGAGATAACCGCCAACCCATTTTCGTAGGTCGCCGATCTCGGGGAAGGGGTCGCTCTGGGGTTTGCGGACCGTGTTCAGTTGCGTGAAGCCGACACCAAAGCCAGTGTCGTCGACGTCTTGCTCAATAACCATGTCATCATTCTTGGGCGGTACAGGTGGGTCTTCCAGAAGCTTCAAGAGAGCTGTGCAGGTGAGCGGCCAACCCTTGGGGTATCGCTGAACGAAAGCCTGGCTGTCTGCAAGTGTCTTGGTGAGTGACACTGCTGCAATCTTTCGATCGATGGGACGAGCGAGCTCCTGTGTTTTGGGAAGGATGATGCTGAGATAAAGCCCACGGAAAATGTCCTCGTTTTGCACCTTGTCTGTCGCGCTGATGAAGAAGTCGGCGCCCAGTCCTTTGTCATCGCGTGACGCAACAAAGTGGTAGAAGCGCACAAAGCGTTGCTGGAAGGCCGCAGAAGGGTTTCGCTGTAGACGCGTGAAGATGATGTTGAGTATGGGAACCCAGAAGTTCTCCAGAGCAGAAGCATCAAATGTTGCCACAATCGTCTCGAGGAGGTCAAACGCATACCCCTCATAAGCTTTGGATGCAATCAACTTCTGGAAGATGCCCAAAACGTTTTCGATCTGGTTATTCGCCTGCATGTCGGCCGCCGAGCGGATAATGAGAGCAGTAAGTAGCCGGACCAGAGCCGGCACGTTGCCACGTTGCTCCCACAGGGCTGGCATGAGCACTGGGGCAATCAACGGCTGCAAATTGGGCGGCAATGGCTTCTCTGGTTCGCCCTCAACAAGCGCCGCCAACAGCTGGAAGACATAGGGCATGAATTCCTCCACGGAATTTTGGAGAACAGCGAGGAAAGGGTTGAAGAGAGCCCCAATCAGGGCGTCCGACTGTGAAGGTCCAGCGAACCGGATGAGAGCTCCCAAGGATTCAAAGTGGTAGTAGTAGAACTTTGGGTTCGACGGGTTGGGATAGATGATATTGGTGATTTGGACGAGGTGATTCAGGGTTGATTCGATAACCGATATCACACCCTCTCGAATGACAATTAGCACCCGCATGATGCATCGCATCAGGAATTCGTTCTCCTGCACCTTCTGCGGGGCTGGATCTTTCTCAATCAGACTGAAGAGGTGTTCAAGCAGGTCTTTCGCGAGTGGCGTAATATTAGCAGGGTCAATGACTGGCTTGCCATCCTCGCCATACATGGCTAGCACTCGCTCCACAGTCACAGCTGCATACGTGTAGACGCAATAGTTGGAATTGCCGAGATGATTGACTAGTAACGACATGACTTGTTGCCATTGGTCTCTAGTGATGATGCTCCGGAAGACGTACAGGTATTTGATTGCGTCGACTACCAGAAGAGGATGTGTGTTCTGGCCCTGCAGGTCGGCGGCGAGATTTTTGGAGAAGAAGTCACCAATATCGACCTGGCCGTTGGTCGATGTCACACCATGTGTCGACGTCGCTTGACCCTTGGCTGCGGTTGCGTAGAAAAGATTTGTTGCTGTGTCTTTTGATCTCCAGTTCTCGGCCGGATTGGTGGCGTAGTCTTGGAGACACTTGTCGATGACGGACATGGTGATCTGCGTAACTGAGACCTCAAATTGATCACTTAGTTGACGCAGAAAGTCGGTAGCTGCTCGTCGTCTCGTCTCGCTGTCCGAACCTTCCAAGTCACGTCTGATGAATTCGATGGGTTCATCTTCGAACATTTCGATATCGGAGTCTCGGAGTGCCACATTGGGCAAGATGACCTTCTCAACGATTTGGGATTGTACGCTTGCATCGTTGAAGACTTGACTCTGCTCCTTGATCCGCGTGACTGTGGTCAAGAAAAGGAGGGCTTTGCTAACCAGAATGTCGTTCTTGGGGTCAGCGTTTGTGGTGGTCAGAAGTGCCCAGGAGCTCTGTACGAAAGATCCGATCTGTGATGAGAAATCTTCATAGTACTTTTGCGTGAAGAGGGTCAGAACTTCAAAGACATTTCCTTTGGCATTCTCCAGAGGGCCGGCTTCGGACTCATCATCGGTATGTAACAAGGGGCTGTCGTAGGTGAGGTACTTTAGCAGAAGGCCAGCAATGCCTTGCATGTTATCCTCGAAGACGGGAGATAGATCCTGACAGCATAGGTCATAAAAGATCTGAAGGATGAGATCAAGCTCGGCGAAGGCCTTGGTAAGAGCAGCTTTGTCATTGCCATGAGCCTCAATGTAGGCGTCAAGACTCTGCCACAGGCTTAAGAAGGGCTGTGCAAATTTGGACAAAACGTGGTTGATTTCGGTATAGAGCTCATCTGAGCGAAATAGCGGTCGCCAGCGTCCAAAGATGGAATGCGCAACCTGGAGAACACCGATGTTGACGGTCAGATCGTCAGGCTTGAAACGCGCAACGAGGTCATCGACAAGGGTATCCCATCTCTCCCAGAAGTCACTATCAGCAATCACACTGATTGCTTCGGCCAATTGAGTCTGGATTCCGCTCGGTACGGAAGCCATTAAGCCAATGATCTCGGTCTTAATGGACGTGACATCTTGCTGTGAGAGTTTGTAGTTGCCCTCAACATCGGTCCAGTTCCTCTTGATGAAGTTCTTGAAGAACAGCGCGCTGGCAAGGCGCGTGTTGTAGCTGAAAGCATCGGAGGCGGTGATCTGAAGGAGAAGGAGAGCAAAACCGGGTTTCTTTTCTTCGGCGCGGATCTCAAGCTCGGCTACATTGACTGTCAGTACTGATCAGTGGTACAGTGCTCAACAGAGTGCTAACCTTTCTTGTTGGTGCGCGGATCCAGGCTGGCATCAAGCAGCTGAGCCAGATGGTCTAGCGACGCCATAGCGGGGAACTTTTGGTTGGGGGGATGGCGATGGGCTAGCACCACATGCTCAGTCGTAGAAGAGAGGGTCGAAGATACGGGAGAGGTGGCGCAGAAGCTTGGGCACCTTCAAATAGTGCGGGAAAAGTGCGGAAAGATTGTGCCACAGCTGGATGTCGTTGTTTACTCGCGGGGGGACTTTTTGCGCAAGAGGCAGCTACGCATCTCCAACGAACGAAATGTTTGCTAGGCGGCGCCACAAGGCTGAAAGGCAACTAGAGTCGCCTGTGGCTCAGCAGTTAGGGGCGAGAGGCGTGGGCGGACCATGGTTCCAAGCAGGCGCCACCGTGACCCCGGGGAAGCAGCTTCCTGCAGTATCGGTGGAGCCTGGAGTTGGTCCTGGACCAGTGAAAATCCTTTCCGTCAGCGCCAGCTGCCGCTTCCGTTAGTGGCACTTTTTCATGGCCTTCAACCTCGACATCAACCACCCTTCTTCCTCACATCAACTTTATAAAAAGCCTCTCTGCACATAGTATCGCGCACCGTTGCTCTACAACTACAGATTCGCCTGTTCACACGACTGCGACTGGGTTTTGCAGAATTCTCCAACTCCCAGCTAATCTATCAGCCCTTATCGACAGACATCTTGAACTTATCTCAGCAGGCCGGCATCAACCAAACCATTCCACCATCATATCCCGCCCATCCCAACAATCATGGACTCTTCGTAGTCCTATCAGCAACTCACACTGGTGTCACGACAGCAGTGCCAGTCTCGCAATGAGTTGTAGTTTTCAACTGGGGCTCCGTGCGCTGAGTCACCCATGGATCTCCTAAACCTAGATTCCTCCAGCTTCGAGCGCGATCCGGACTATGCCAGGCAATGGCTAGCGAATCAAGATGCCTCCCCAGAGCGTGGCACCATTCCTGGGCCTCTCTTGGACGCTACCTCCCAGAGTCCGGACGTCCTCATTGCCTTCTCGGACACTCTTGGCGCCGCCATCCAGTCATGGTACACACGTGTGCAAACGGCTGCGAAGGCCAGAAATGAAGATCGCCAAGACCGCAGCCTGTTGCAGGTGGCACAGGACGCCTCAAAAGATCTGACATGGCTGTTGCAATTCACAATCGACTTCCTCAAGCACGTTGAAATTGAAGGTGATGGTGAGAAAATTGACGCTCCTGGCCCCTGCCTTCATCGACTCACCCGAACATCCATTGACCTAGCACTGAAATCTGGGAAACGAGGTGACATCGAATATGCCATCGGCACTCTACACTTGCTTGTCCAACGCTTCACGTTCCCAGAGGACTGTCTGCGCGACACTTTACAGGTGCTAAGTGCCTCAGCCATGCACTTACAACCGACCCCCGATCGCGTATACCAGTGCTTTCGCCTCTTGGCGTCTGGCAGACTTGCAGAACAAGTGATTGAGGTCATGCTCAGCTTTGTTGCTAAGCCAAGTGCTGCTAACCACAGCCATGAACTAGCCTACGGCCGCGGCGCCTTGCGCCTGCTGCAACATATCGTTGACCTAAAGACCGACAGTGGAACATTTGTGGTTGGCACCTCTCAGGTCATTGATGCTTTACGGCTCGCTGCGTCACAGATGATTCTGAGGTATGTGACCGACATCATCTACACACTTCACGCCATCTTGTCGCATCCATCTCGACGAGACGATGTTGCAGCTCTTGATTTCACACCAGTTGTGGAATTGCTGAGATTCTCACTCGACGCTTCACTGCCGAAGTTATCGACCAACAGCATTGCATCAACGGACCTGCAGCATACCACATCTCCGGACAAAGATGCCAACCGTTCTGTCGATCGGCACGTTGAGGAGCGAGATGCTGCCATGAGAGCTGTGGGTCACGACATGGAGAACGCATGGTCCACCATACGCGACCATCAAAAGATCGTAATAAGTGACTACGTCTTACAAAACCCCCGATACCTCTCGGCCGACATGGTTCGCTGTTGCATTGATTTCACTTTCAAAGGACAACTACTCTCGGCAGAGCATGATGAGTCTAAACGTCGAGTACAGTGGCTGCTGCAGTACATTGTACGGGACCGTGACCTACTGCCGGACTGTCGAACTGCGGCGTTCGAAGTCTTGAACAAGACCATGGTCGACCTCATGAGCGCGCCGAGCGATGCCACTGAGAAGTCTCAGTCTGCTTCAAGCACAATTGCCGATTACAAGCGGGTGCTTCTATTGCAGCTCTCGATGGAAAACGACAAATCGGTGCTCGTCGCGATCAGCGATTCTCTTCCGCTGTTAGCGAAATCACCCGACTGCTCGAGCTATATCGTCACCAAGCTCACCGATTTGGTGTTGCATGGCTTACCGACCCGGGGACAGCGAGATCGAAACGCGCTATATGCAACCAAAGCGTTGGTGTCGATTTTCGCAGATAGCCTCGCGTTAGATCCAGCAGTCTTCCTCCAAGCCTATGATGGTCTAGTCAAGATCAGCAGCTTGGAATGCCCATTTCGCGAGGCTCGCATTGCATCTATGCGTATCCTGTTCAGTATCCGAAGCACACTCAGCGGCTGTATCTACATTACCGATGATATGAGTGCCGGGTATATTGCAACAGCCCTGTGTAGAACGCGGGAGTCAGCCGAAGCATTTGATTATGGCACACCAAACTCTGACAGACGATCAACAAGCTCCTCCAGTCTTTCCAGTACAGTCGGTCCGACCTATCAGTGCACATGGATGTTTGATGATGAGGACAACGTGAAGTCTCCACGGGCTGGACCGTCATCCATCATTACATCTAGCAAATCAGTCAGCAAGCAAAGTGCTGATAAGTTGCATCTCGATGTGACCGCCTGGCTGCTAGAAATTATCCGCATTGTACAGAAAGACACCGACTGGGAGGTCTACAGCTGGGTCATGGTCAATCTTGGCAGCCAACTTGCGAATATGGAGCTGTTCAATTCATCGCTTGAGTCCATCGTCATGCTTCGCCAGGTGGTCTGCGAGCAAGTTGCGAACTACAAGATGCATGAGCCGCCAGCTGCATCGGGTCTAAAGAAATCCGATGTGGCTCTTTGCTTGTTCAATATTCTGACACCAATGATTGCATACGCCACCAAAAAGGGCGAGGTCATTCAGAAAGAATTCGGTGACGAATTGGTCAAAGCGTTCCTCGCTGGCATTGCCAGTCAGCATTACGAAGGAACGGCTCGTGGATGCATACATGCTTTGTCGATTTGCAGCTTGGAGATACCTGCGTCTGTTGCATCTCTGTATCCAAACATCCTCGAGCGTGTGTCTCGAAGCATGACGCAGTCGCATTTGACCATGCACATGCTGGAGTTTCTGTCCGAAGTGGCCAGCCTTGAGGAGCTTCATTCCAACTTCATGCAGGAAGAGGTCGCAAAGATGTTTGGCATGTGCATACAGTTTCTGGAACGGACCCGCGAACAGGCGGCATTAACCACCAGTAGCTTGCCCACGAGATCGGCGACACCGTCCCGTCAGAGTGGCGTCAGCCTTAAGCGGCCACCGTATCGCGCTGCCATGATGAAAGATGTCGGTGTGCCGCAGTATGCATCAGCACTGGCGTACCATACAATGATCCGGTGGTTTCTGTCCTTGAGATTGGAGGTCCGATCCAGGCTTGTATCTTGGATCGTTCCGCGTCTGATCTGGAAGAATAACCACGGTGACGATATGATAGACGAGCAGAGCGAGGTGTTGATTGATATGATGCAGCGAACGGCATTTTCCGATCTCGGTGAGACTGCGCCGAACCCAGATTTTGCCAAGGTATCTGATGGTAAAGTGTCGAAGACTTCATGGGTGGTGGGTTACAGTATCATCACTGCGGAAACGGCTGGTCACACCGGGTTGACACAAATCACGAAACGGCAGGCATCCGGTACCACACATGCCATCTATCAGCAATCGACGATAGCACTCCCGGGGCATCACGCACCCTCTAATACTGAAATCAAGCCGGGAGAAGTGAACGATGATGGTCCAGCGATCGAGATGCTGCCTCCTCATATTCTGCTTCAAATGGTCAACACTGCCGCCCCCACGAGAAGTGAGGATCAGCCTACGGCACTACCCAACGACGATGTGATTGAGCGAGCCTTGAGCACGTTCGATCGGATCCCCACTGTTGACAGCAACAAGGCTGGGGTCATCTACATCGGACCAGGTCAGACCGAGGAAGGCGAGTTTCTGATGCTGCAGTCAGGCTCGGCGGATTATGATCGATTTGTGAAAGGTCTTGGTTACAGCGTGTCGCTTGAGCCACCTCTGCAATACAACCCGCAAGGCTTACGACATCCGCGTGATGGGTCCACGACGGTTGCGTGGCGAGATCGTGTGACGGAGATCGTGTTCCTTATTCCGACCATGATGCCGCCCAACACCGAAGACGAACCCGAGTGGCTGCACAAGAAAGCACATGTCGGCAACTGCTTTGTCAATATCATTTTCAACAACTCTGGCCTGCCTTGGGACTTTGAACGGCTACGGTCCCAACTCAACTACATCAACATTGTGATAACGCCGGCAGATACGATCGATACCGAGGAGGTTGTTCCATCGTTCTACCACGTGCAGGTTGTTACCAAGCCTGGGTTTCCCAATATCAGCGCCGCGGCGGACCCGAAAGTGATTTCTGCGATACAATTGCCGAAATTCGTGCGTGTGCTCGCGATCAATGCCAATGTATTTGCGCACTGTTGGCAGACCAAGGACGTCGATAAAGAGTTTCCAAGTAATTGGCGTGAAAGACTACAGCATATCAAACGGCTCAAGCAGCGGATGGATCGTCGGACAGCCTCGGGCAGCGAGGCGACACCTGGTGCGGGTTCCAGCTCGGGTATGATGTCCCCTCCATCGACTGGCGCCGGTGGTAGACGAACACCTGTGACTTCGAGTAGTGGCAACAGTGAACTTGGTGGGCATAGAAAGACCGTAGGCGCTCTCGCAAAACAGCTGGATTTCGGGAGCTGGACATCATGGAATTAACGCATATTGCATGGTCCGGCGAGATGGCTAGGGAGATGAGGAGAGGAAAAGTAGCCCTGGCCTGAGTAGCTCCAGTATGGCGTGGATGGAACAGGAAAGGATGGAACAGCATCAGGCGCTGGCAAGAAAAGTTTTTGCATTGTCTAGTTACTCTTCTCCTATACAAAATTCGAGCATGACGGCAAGGTCTGTCCGTGCGTACGCGAACCTCCTCATCATCATCTAACCATGTCTAAGATTGTTGGTTTTCTATTCCCAGCAAGGCCTTCATTTATATCTCACGCTCTAGACAGCGGGTCCCACAGTCCAGATCCAGCAGAGACCCTGACAAGGCGACACCCATGCGGGTGTGAAACTGTTTCGGGCAGCCGAATATCGATACGCTACGTAGCATTATTACGAGATCAAGTGTGTTCCGTGGAGGCCTAGGAGGAGAAGGTCAAAATCAGGCAGTAAAACAGACTTTGCGGCCAGTCAAGCGTCTCCACTTGCGCGAGTCAGCAAGGCGACAACTCATTCACCAGTTGCGCTCTTTGCTCCTTTTTCATCACCAAAAACACCACCCTGCTTGTACGGCACAACGGCTTACCCAAAACGTCGACGCCCAAGCCACCTCGGCTGGTGTCCTACATGCGCGGATCTTACGTTATACGAACTCGATGCGAGTCCCAGAATTCCATGCCGGATCTCAGATCTCACTGAGGCGCCGCGAAATAGAGTTGACAAAGCACGGCTTGAACCAGGCTTGGGATGGACCCTTTCCCCGCATTGCCACAACTAGACAACCCGTGTCAGCGAGCACTACATCGAGCAGCTGGCATTCGGCGATTCCAACCCAGGACACCGGTCACCATCCCCCAGACCGAGAGTGAGGGGGTACGACAAGGTTTGGTGACGATACCCGTGCCTCGTATGCGGCATACAACATGGACGCGACATACCTGAGCGCGATCCCGACGTGGTATCTTGCAACCGCATGAGGCTGCTGGCTCCTTCGACAGCATGTCCACAACCACAGAGACTTCCAAGACGACGCTGAAGACTTTCCCACCCGTAGTGCTTGATACCACTCTCTACCAACTGCTGCTGGATGACTTGCCCGCAGGCGAGGCTCTAGAGACTTACTGCACCGTCAAGCCCAATTCCGATCCACAACATGGCGAGGCCGTGCCTCTTTCCAACAAGTACATCATCCATGCGGCGCAGTTGGATGATAGCGACGACCTGGCACACCTGCAATTGGAAATCTGCTCTTACCTGCTGATGTTCTTCTGCGGACCCATGAAGGTCATCTTCCTTGGTGCCGAGGGCGCAAGCAAGGATCCAACCCTGTCTCAGAAGGTCGTTGATGAGAATGCCAAAAGGAGCTTTGCGGTCATTGCTCTTGAGCAGAGACCCGTCATTTAGTATGTTTGTCTTCGATATCTACCATTTTCGTTTTGCTGAGCTCACCCTCGCAGCACCTATGCCAATCAGGATGACTGTGCGGCAAATCATGACGGCTCCAAGATTCGCTGGGCATTTGCTATGGATTTTGCAGAGCGGCTGCCATATCTCTTTCACCCCGAACTGGTCTACAAGATGAATAGCAAACGTTGGCTGGCTGAAAGCGACCTCAAGAGCGCCAATGATCGGATCATAGACTGCAACATCATCTGCCCTCAGAACGAGGAAGGTTTGAAGCATTGGTACCACTGCGGCGCCACCTGCGAGTCATGCAAAGATGGCATCCGGAAGGAGACCGAAAGAATCCGCGCCGTTCTGCAAGAGCGGCAGATTCCCTTTGTGCTTAAACTGACCCAGTCACTCAGCAGCGTGGGCACCAACATCGTCACGAATGAAGAGGAGCGATCCGCCGTCATAGACAAGATTACAGACTACCTCCAAGAATACCTTCCACGGATTACCCGCACCAACGGCCATCTCTACACAACTGCTCTAATCCTTTCCGACGCCATTCCCGGCAAGACCATGGCCCTTAACTTCTACGTTCGCCGCAACGGCACCGCGCATTTCCTCGGCGCGTGCCACCAGCTGGCAACCGGCGAGAGCGGCCGACAAGCCACCGCCATCACGTACGCCGACCAGGAAGGACTGGAGAAGAAATACCGCTCGACGCTGGCACGCAACGCCAAAGCCCTGCACGACCTCGGCTACTGGGGTCCCGTGGGCGCCGATATCATGGAGGACCCCAGCGACGGCACGCTCTTCACCATCGATCTGAACGTGCGCACGCCGCTTAGCCTGGTGCTGCACCTGCTCAAGGGCCACTTCAACGACACACGTGGGCTGGGCGTGGCGCTCGTCTACGAGTGCGTCATCTTGCGCATCTCACGAGACGAATTGGAGGATCGCTTCTTCAAGGAGTTTGACGAGGGGAGGCTCGTGCTGTTGGGTGGTACGCAGTTGGGCGATGACGGGAAGTGGGCGTTTGGTGTGGTCATTGCCGGTAAGAATAAAGACGAGATTGATGCGCTGAGCGATCGGATTCTGAGGTATGAAACGGACGATCAGGTCGACGATTGAAGCGAGTTGTGTACACTGGTCCTGGGTCAAAGCTGTACATGGCTATACTATACCTGCATATACGATCAATCTCCGCTGAGCGAAACTCCCCTTGGTATATACGGTATGTACCCCTCGTAAACCTCGCAAGCCAAGCCTCGTCAAAAGCAACCAAGCCTTTCGACTTTTGCCTGCTTTTCCATCCTAGTCTTCGCACCTAGACGATCAGCATCCCCATCATCATAGCGCCAGAGCTAGGAAATGTCGTGGCAAAACCGCGCGGTATCACTGGTCCGGTCGTCAGCGAGCCTATGTGCTGCGGGCCTGTCGGACCTGTACCCCATCTTTATTCCTTGCTAGAGAGCTAGACTCTTTACAAGGTACCATGTATGACTCTGCCTAGCCGCTAGATCGTTCAGTCATGTCTCATGGCTTGGAGTGTAAGCTGGTAGCTAGCTACTTTTTCTGGTCAAGTCCGGCAACACCACGTACGTGGGCATCTAGCGTGTCATAAAGATCGGTCATAAAGAAGTTGGACCATCACACTCAGTTGTCAGGTCACATCGACAGCCTATTGCTACTGCCATCATGCAATTCTCGTCGCTACTGTCAGCCACCACAGCCGCGCTCTGGGTCCAAGCCGCGGTGGCATCCGCTTTAATCCCCCACGATGCCTACGGGAAGCGACAAGAAGACGCCTCTCTCTCCGGCAGCAGCTTCGAGCTCGACGCCGCCAGCGCCCCGCTCACATTCACATACACCACCGACTCCGCCGACGACACTAACTGGATCGCTCTTTGGGCAGTGGGCGACGGCCCCGTCGATGCACAGGCAACTGCGCCAGCTTTGGTCTGGGAGTACACGCCCGGGTCGGAGGGCGCCGTCCAGCTCTCCGTCGATGACCTGCACCCAGGAGACTATGTGGCGTACTTCCTAGCGGAAGACGGCTACGAGTCGCTCGCGGATCCTGTGGAGTTCGCGTTTGAGGGCTTAGCGCCCGATCTGTACTTTCCGGTCGAGGAAGCCACGCTGCACAACGCCCGGCAGGGTGAGAGTTATGTGGCTCGCCTGGGTGGATTAGTGCTCGGCGTGGGCAACGGGACGGTGGGGTTTGACAAGGCGAGCGGCGATGACTGGCTTCACGTTGCTGATGATGGGACGATCACCGGCACGCCGGGCTGCAAGTGTCCTGAGAAATCACATGCAGAGGTGCTCGTTACTGCCGACAACGGCTCGTCTGCACGTCTGCGCGTGGTGATCCCAGTACGCCGGCGTCGGCAGCCACTCGTCGACAGATTGGCCGTCATGTCCTACAATACCTGGATGGGCGGCACGCACGTGCACAATTATCACGAGAAGCAGCTGCGTTTCATCCTCGAATCTGGCGCCGACATCATCGGCCTTCAGGAAGCAGCTGCCGGTGACCATGTGGTCCGCCTCAGCGAGGGACTGGGCTGGCACTACTGGCAGAGCAACCGCAGCGTCGGCATTTTGAGCCGCTACCCGATTGTCGAAGAGTACGGAGAAGTTGACCCTGTCGATGTCCCGGTCGAGGAGACCAAGATTTCACCTGGCGGTGGAGTGCGGATTGGTCTCAACGGTGAAAGCAAGGCCAAGTCTGAGGTCAATGTCTGGAGCGCTCACCTGTCGTATCAGCCATACGGGCCTTATGACTTTTGTTTTGACAACATGACCGAAGAGGAGGTTCTGGAAAGAGAGGGCTTTTCAGGAAGACCGGGCCAGATGCAGGGCATCCTCACCCGCCTCGAATCGCAGCTCGCCGACTCCTCCAATGTGCCTGTCATCCTGGTGGGAGACATGAACGCCCCATCTCACCTCGACTGGATCGAGGCTTTGCGCGAGAAGAACTGCGGCATCGCAGACAACTATCCCTGGCCCACTTCCATTCTGCCAACAGACGCCGGCCTCATCGACTCATTCCGCGTGGCACATGCTGATGCCGCCCGAGAGCAGTGCCTCAGCTGGTCGCCCATCTATCCTTTCAACGAGGGCAGCACCGGCGCGCCGGAGCCGCAGGACCGCATCGACTTCGTCTATGGCACCGCGGAGCTCCGTGTCCAGAGTTCGGAATGTCTTGTAGCGGGAGAGCCGCGCCCGGTGCCGGACCACGAGGACAATGAGTGGACGAGTGACCATCTAGCGGTATTGACGCATTATCGCCTGTCTTAGCAGCAAAGAGAGGCGAGCCGGCCTAACCGAGGTTTTGGCCCCTGTACTCCGTACGTCGCCTGATCGCGAAGCAGTACGGAGTATTGTGTTGATAGACATGGAATATGCCCGTATGAGGCCATAATGCCACTCTCTAGCTCACCCTTTCCCACGACATAATGCCCCCATAGCCCCTCCAACGTGCCGTCTCTTGCCATAGTACACTAGTATCCCGACGTCCCGATCTCGCCGGCGTCGACCGAGTGTGAAGTCGCATCGAGGAAACGTGGTTGCCTTGGCGCCTTGGCGGCAATCTCGCAAAATTGCCTTGCGGATCTCCGCGAGTCGCTTTTCCATGTCTTCTTCTCTCCTCTTCTCGAACAGTGTCCGTTGGATCAAACACGTGCTCGGCGTTCTGCCTGCACGTGTAGACCTGTCCCCATGTCGCCAAGATGACATACCATATCACGCTTGCTATGGCGCTGACACCTGCCTGGACGGGTATGGACACTCGCTCAAATTGTAAAATGAGCCAGCAAGCAGAAATGATATAGGTGAGGTCGAGTCCCGGAGGAGAGTCTCTCTGCTGCTCACGGGTCATTAGAGGTAGTATCTCACCCCAGTCGTTCGCTCAATTTACCCTCACCGCCTAATAATACTTGGTTTAATAATGTTCGCTAAACAAGCCCTCGCGGCCGCCGGCCTGGTGTGCTCCTGCGCCGCCGTGCCAGCCTGGTCGCCTCCCCACGCCAACGGCATCAAGAACTTCATCTACATCGTTCCGGACGGGTACGGGCAGCACTCGCAGACCATGGCGCGTGACTACGCCATGCTGCAAGCCCCCAACGTCAGCGCCAGCAACCCTGGCCCGCCGAGCTTCGAGCTGGGCGCCGACAAGTTCGTCGTTGGCACCGTCCGCACCTGGGCTTCGGACAACCTTATCACCGACTCAGCTGCGTCCGGCACCGCTTTTGCCTGCGGCCACAAGTCGTACAATGATGCCGTGGGCGTGACTCCCGATGGCCTGCCCGTGGGTAGCATCCTGGAGACGGCGAAGCTGGCGGGTTTCAAGACCGGTCTCGTCGTCACCAGCACCATCAACCACGCCACACCGGCTGTGTACGCCGCGCACGTGGCCCACCGTGACAGCTACGAGGCGATCGCGGCGCAGGAGATTGGCTACTCGCACCCTTTCGGCCCCATGGTCGACATCCTCATGGGCGGCGGGCGCTGCTACTTCAAGCCGCAGAGCGACGACACCTCATGCCGTAGTGATGACCTGGACCTGTTCGGCTTCGCCGAGGAGAAGGGCTTCACCGTCATGCAGGACCGTGCGGGTTTCGATGCGCTGAACATGGGTCAGGACGCTGAACTGCCGTACATCGGCCTCTTCAACGACGACCAGATGATGTATGAGATCGATCGCTCGCGCGAGCCGGAGAAGGAGCCCTCGCTGCTGGAGATGGTGGAGACGGCGCTTGTGTCGCTCGACCGTGCCGTGTCGGGCAACGCGCCATCGCGCCCCGGTCGTCCTGGCAAGCCTGGCCATGGAAACGGCGGCAACAATGGCAAAGGTTACTTCATCATGATCGAGGCCAGCCGTATCGATCATGCGGGCCACGCCAACGACGCAGCCGCCCACGTTCACGATACGCTCATGTACAACGAAGTCATGGAGTTCGTGGGAAAGTGGATCGATGAACATGAGGATACGATGATGATGTCTGCCGCTGACCACGAGTGCGGTGGTCTGACCACCAACGGCTTCGACCCCTCGACCCTCAGCGCGGCTTCGCACTCGTTCGAGTATCTCCAGGACCTCTGGGACGAGAACACCGGTGACGAGCGCGCCTTCCTGGTGGACACCATCCTCCCCGGCGCCGGCCTCAGCGACGTCGTCTCCGATGCCGAGGTCGACGAGCTCCTCGCTAGCGGCGACGACATGTGGGAGACCCTCACCGAACTCCAGGCCGAAACCGCCGGCGTGAACTGGAGCACGGGCGGGCACACCGCGGGCGACATCAACCTGCACGGCTACGGCGCCGGGCCGAAAATGCGTGAGTTCAAGGCTGACATGGCGGGCAATCATGACAACACCGAGCTGCCGAGGTATATCGAGAAGGTTCTGGGCCTGGATATGGATGCCACGACGGCGAAGCTGCGCGCTGTGCCGGCCGGCTGGGTTGCGGACGAGGATGCGGCGAAGAAGGTCAAGAGAGGGAATGTGAAGAGCAGGGATGGGCATGCGGCTGGTCACGCGCATTCGCACTGAGGCGAGGCGAGGCCAGGCGAGGCGAAGCGAGGCTCAGAGGCATGAGCTTGCGAGGTTCGTGTCGTGTCGTGCCTTAAGTAGAACAGCTCCAACGACCTTTTGAGTGGTGGTCTCGTGGTGGCCTACTGCGCTTCACAGAACCACGGTCTCAGGTCCACGGCCAGTTCATCTCATCGCTTTAGGTCTGGGTAGCGAGCCAGCTGGCTAGCTAACCGATAATCTTGATATTTTTCCTGGTGCAGCTTGCATAGATAGCCCTTGTTGATGGCCGTCATGGTTGTCACAACATGTCTCTGAGAAACAATTGCCCTTCGTTGCCGCTGCGGCGACTCAATTCATGCGTCTACATCCATGATTCGTCCGCTGGCGCTCGCATCGCGTGCTCCCGTACCGCTACACGTCCCAGATAGCGCGATTTTCATGCTCACAGAGACTACCGACACACATACGCCTTAACAATGAAATGAGCAGCCTAAACGCCAAGACCAGCCTCCGGCTACACCTACGGCGCCACCCGTCCTCCCCGCCTCGGACAGGAGTCTCCTCGAACCGCAGTATCTCCATACACGCTACGCAATGCCATGCCATGCCATGGCACGCACCGGCCCCCCACTATCCACTCCAAGAGTCCAATCCATTCAAAGCCCGCTCGCTCGCTGTAAGCGCTGCTGCCGCTGTTCCTTGGCCTTGGCCTTCGACGTTCGATAACGTGAATAACGTGTGGGGTCAGGCATACCCAGCGAATTAAGATGGACGTTTCAGTCCGCGCACCGTGAACGTGAACGCGAACGTGAACGTGCAGGATCGCTCTCACTCACACGGCACTATCTTCCCGAAACGCACTGCCGCGGGCCAAGTCGGGCGAGTGCTAGGCCCCCCTTGATTTTTTTTCATCCGCCAAATCCGCAACCTGGGGCAACCTAGCTGACCTGGCATGGGCTACTGTACTGCATATTGCGAGGGTGTGAGAGGAGTCCAGGTCAAGCGAAGCGGATAGAAACACGTCACGAACTTTCCGGGCATGGCCGGGCACCGAACCGCCTCAGCTCTCGAGAGATGTACTGTAGGTGAGAGGTACCGTGCCCGAAAGGAGCAGCCAAGGAGCTATGAGGCGCAGTGCCACGCTGGCTATGCAGTGCCAGTGCAGTGCAGTGCCAACGGTTTCCTATGAAGGAGGGGGGATTGCCGGCCGGTCGGCTAAGGCGAGATATGTGGGTTTCTTGGGTGAGCGACTTCTGCACTGAGGCCGACATGGCGCTTTTTGCTGAGATTGAGATTGAGGCATTGTGGTTTGTTTGTTCTTGAAGCTAGACTTCTCGTGGACATTGTTTTTAGTCGTGTTCGCCTCTTGGAGCTCATTTGATTTACGTCGTTGACGAGCGCGAGAGCTGCTGGTCATGGAACGGCCGGCTGATAACGGCGAAGAGCCTCGGGCTAATGTGGAGGTGCGTGAACCATGTGAGAGGCAGAGGGCGTGATCACCAAACGGTTGTCTTCGAATACAAGGTTGATATGATTATGGCAGGTGCAGGACAACGCGCTGGAGCACGAGGAAGACTCAGCATACTCCGAAGGCGACGTGTAAGTGTCCCTCCCTCGGTCCCTCTGCCTGCCTTCTCATTCAAACACAAACCCACTCCTCCCTCATGCATCCAGCCAGGTGCAACTGCAGTACCTGACACACCCCTTCCCTACTACAGCGAGAGCTACACGACATCCCTCCGCTCCAGCGTGGAGAACTACAAGATCGAGCACGGCCGCCGCTACCACAGCTTCAAGGAAGGGCGCTACCTGTTCCCCAACGACGAGCAGGAGCAGGAGCGCTACGACCTGATGCACCATATCCTCGTGCGCTCCATCGGCGACAAGCTGTTCCTGGCGCCCGCGTCGACCGAGGGGACCCGGATCTTGGATTTGGGCACCGGCTCTGGGGGGTGGGCTGTTGATGTTGGTATGTTTGCACGTGGTTCTGGTGCAGAGGGGCGCCGCGCGAGAAAATGCTAATGAGCTGTTTTTTGCGTTACGATAGCGGATATGTATCCGGCGGCTGAAGTCGTGAGTGGCTCTTCCTGTCGAGAGAACGCCGGAGGGCTTGGGTCTTGACTACGGTGACAGGTTGGCAACGACCTTAGCCCCATACAGCCGCGCTGGTAAGGCTTCTTCTATCTCCAAACAACGCGTCGAGAAAACCCACAGACCCCACGGCACAGGACAGTGACCTTGATGTAGGGTACCGCCAAACCTCACGTTTGAGGTAGACGACTTCGAGAGCGAATGGAGTTTCGACCGGCCCTTCGACTTCATTCACGCCCGCTACATCTGCGGCTCGGTCGCGGACTGGCCGAAGCTGATGCGACAGGCCTACGAGTTAAGCCTCCATTTCCCTACCTCCCCTGCGCCATCCGATTTGCATCTTTTTACCCTACCTTCAAAACACCCTCTCACCCTCCCCCCACCCTTCAGAGGCCCCCCATCCCCTCCTCCCACCTTTCCAAGCTAGTCCTCCTAACATCTTCTCCCTTTCCTGCGCAACAGCAACCTCAAGCCCGGCGGCTACGTCGAGTTCCAAGACTACGACATGCGCAACTTCACGCAAGACGACTCACTTTCGGAGAATAACCAAGTGGCGCACCTCTTCGACCTGCTGATCGAGGCCGCCGACAAGATGGGCCGCACCGCCAACCCAGGCATCCACCTGCGCGAGTGGGTCGAGCAGGCCGGCTTCGAGAACGTGCGGGACGAGGTGTTTTTGATCCCGTTGGGGGCGTGGCCTAGGGATGCGAGGATGGTATGTTACCGTTACCGTACTGTAACTTGAGGCGATCCTCGTGGAGGAGACTCCTGCTCCAAGGGGGGGGAGGCTCAACTATGTTTTCGTTTTGGGGCTTTGCTCCCTCCCTCCCTCCCTCCCCCGTCTTTCTTTGCACACACACACTCTCTCTCGGAAGACCTCACCAGACAGTGTCTCACATCAGCTAACCCAATCGCCCCTGGGGCAACATACAGAAAGAAATCGGCACCATCAACATGGTGCAGTTCCTCGACGGCCTCGAAGGCTTCACCATGGCCATGTTCACCAAGATCCTCGGCTGGTCCGTCGAAGAGATCCAGGTTCTGCTCGCGGGCGTCCGGAAAGATGCCATGAGGAAGGATGTGCATATGCTGCATAGATTGTAAGCCTCTTCTTTTTCTTTTGGCATGATTCGTCTGGTATGAGAGAGAGAAAGAGAGGAGTTTTGGGTGTGGCTGTCTGGCTGGCATCATAAAGGAGAGGCAG